CGTCCATTTAAACGAACCGTATGGTACAGTGCTTTAGCTAGTAAATGAAAGGATTATTGTGCATCGCGAAGAGTTCAAAAATCAATGTGAGGTCAAATCAATACATATATGAAGTCAGAGTGATGACCTCCTAAAAAATTTAGGTACAAACAACGAGTACTCTTCTTTTCACTCAATAATGCAGAGATAGAGCAGGGAGAAATTGAAACAGTAAAAAAACTTTGAAGAGGTCATTCACCTGAATTATATATCGCAGATATTTATTGTGCATTTTTTTTCATTGTTATTGGCAATTCCAAAATCAGAATATTGTTAGAAATTGTAGTTAGTTAGACACAATTAAATAATCGAATAATTCATTAAGAAATTAATCAGCTTGCCTTTTCTGTTGACGCTGAAATATCCCACGAAGAAACAACGCTTTTGTTGTTGGATAAAGAAGAATTGATTTTATACTACGGCTGTCAAACAATGAAAGAAATACTACGGCTGTGATACATTGAAAGAAATTTTCTAACTATCATATATGAACGAAAGAAATATTTCTCTATGATAAGTATATTAAAAATTTAGTCCGAAATTTGCAATAAATCATAAATATCACATTATCAATTTCTATTAAAATTCAACTAATTTTATGCTTTAATTTAATTAATTTTAAACTTGTTAGCGTAAAGAGTTAATTAAGCTAATTATCTTTATTGACATATACAATAATTTTTCTTCTCCTCAAAATATACTATTTTTCTTGCCAGCTTAAAATTCGAAGTTCATAATCAATCTATCAGTTTGGAATAATGTCAAGTAAAAAATTTTCAACTGATGCAGTTTTGTACTACAGATTGTTTAATTTTTTGATCGTTTGTGATAAACATGTATTGGAATAAATGCATAATCAAGCATAGTTCGATGTGATTGATAACAAATGTTAAGTTAAAGGAGTATAATGTGGCAGGAAAGTTGAACGATTATTTCGTTAAAATCTTTCTCAGATCTATCGGTATTTATTAAAACCTTTTCTCAAATTAATTCAACCTCACAAATCTACTCTATTTTATCGAAAAATTGGAATGATCATTGCCTTAATTCAAAAATGATTGGCTAATTAAGGAATTGACAATGAAATTTTAATCTGTCTTAATTTAAAATTGATTCGTTTTATTCGTAACAATTATTTGATTAGTTAAACATTTCATTGCAATTAATTTATTAATCAGATATTTCGTTAAAATTAAAATTTGAAATGGTAGGATAAGTTGAAATCAATTAGTAAACAAAGTAATGTATCGATAAGAATTTACACCAGTAATTTCAATAATATTTATTGAAATGCAGATATCGAAGCACCACGAAAAACCAAATTTGATAAATACAGGCAAGTAGAAAAAGAATATGAAAAGATTGTGATCACTCAAATTATATATATACATACTGTACATATATATACATGCTCATATATATTGTACTACTGTATAGTTTCATTCTGTATTCATAGTTAGAGTATATTTATATGCAAATGTTATATATATATATATAACATTATATATATATATATATATCATACTCCATTATTTGATTCTAAATCATTATATCGAATTAGATGCTTACAATATTGCACTGTTAAAAATATTAAATATATCTTTGGGAAGGTTATTGAGTCAAAATTTAATCCAAATCTGATTATGTAGTGATAATCATTTCAAATTTATAGATTATTATCTTTGAGTACTTGATCAATGATAGCACGTACACCATTCCAAGCTTCAGTTGCAATTGGTAATAATCGTTGAGGCTTAACATGAAAAGCAAACCATGCTGAAAATTTATAAATTATTTGAAATTTTTAATTTTTATTAATTTATCGATTTCAATATCTTTTTAATTATCAAATTATCATTGAATCAATTAATATGTAACTTTTGTTTCAGCGGTATGAAGTAATTTAATTTTCAAAAGAAAAACTTCATATCTTTTATTAATTTAAATTAAAATTTTAAAACTTTAAAATTTCATTGAAATCATTTACATAAATTATTACTTTACCGAAAAGCATTAAATGCTATTTTTTTTAATTTAACAAATTTTATCATTAATTAAAATATAATTGATACTTCTATTTTCTGGTGATAATTCAAATACATAAACATATTTGACATTCGTATTCTGTTTAATCCAATCCGTTGCACTACCGGTTGCTGGGCCTGCAAACCAAATTGATAGCCATATTTTAAAAAAGGTTAAAATTTGTAAGAAGAAAATTGATGAGTTGGAAAATGATTAGTTGCAACTAATGAAAATTCATGCGATTCAAATGACGAGCTGATATTCTTCACTGTAAAAGTTGGTGATAAAGTTTTTATCATCAATGATTTAATTTCTGTCAATCTTTTTCATTTGCCAATGTTTGTATTAACTATTTTTCTACATCTTACTTTTCAACAAACTTATGATTTCAATCTTTTGTTTGTCCATAATTCTTTTTTTAAAAAACAATGAAACTTTTGAAGTACAAAAAGGACTTTTGAAATTTAAACTACTGAAATTAGTAATTATAATTAAGGTAAGTATTACCAATCATATCGGCTGCAGTACCAATATTATATTCGTGTCCGCCATATTTTTTCATTGCATTTTTTGCCTTTTCAGCTACAGCTACCTGTAATCTAAAAATTTTTAGACTTTTTTACTTAAAGTTAGAAATAAAATTTTGATGGAAATTTTAATTAATTAAGAAAATTTTAATTAAGATTTTTCATTTTCAGATAAGTCTTTAGTTTTCTGAAAAATTTAAAGTTTTAATTTTTAGATAAACCAAATCAGTGTAGTCGATAGAATATGTTTTACGACGATGATTATACGGAAGAATGATAAATTGCCCGTAGCTATGCATGCTTATCACTGCATCCGTTTTATTCCGCAATTCATTTGAAGTGATAAAATCTCGTACTGCTCTAAATAATTTTAAATGATTTAAGAAGAGGAAAAGAGAAATAGAAATTTTTAAAATTAAAGTTTAATAATTTTCGATTACTATTTTACCATAAATTCGTGTATAAAATACATGGAAGTGATGTTAGCTTGAGAAAGATTATTTTAATTAACCGAAAAAGAATAAATATTAAGAAAAGATGTGCCGTGATTCTGGTTCACTGAACGGAAATGGTCCTTGATATTGATCTGAACATGAATTATTGAATGGATAGAGATTTTGATTGAAATCGAAATCATAATTTCGATTAAGATCAACTCCTTCGCAGCATAAATTTTTTCGGAACACTAAGCTGCCGGTACAATTTTTCGGGGCACGGTTTTTTCTCCAATATTTGACCTAAAAATAATACAATGAAAACATAAATATATTATATGGATTGTTTTTCATAGAAGATTAAATATTATTCTGATTAATTAGGCCACACAGCAATTAATATACAATTTTAGTAAATAAAAGAAAATTGTGTGTGATATTTTTAGGAGAAAAAAAATTCATTTATAACAAATATGTTTTGTAATTATTATTTGTTTAATTTCAAATCTAAATTATTATCTAAAATTAATGAAAATGCCAATTAGAGTTCTGTAAAATAAAATTCCAAAAAAAGAATCATACCAAAGCAGATTTTGATGTACGAGAAAAGACGAAACCATCCGGATTAAGTATCGGAAGTATATAAAAATTCAATTTATCAATATAATTCGTAATTTCCGGATCTTTCCCATAATTTGTTGTAAGCTTTAAAATTAATTGCATATTGTAATTAACAATGAATTTAACCATATTTTTTATGACTTTCTTTTTTAAGATATATTTCTGCCTACTATTATCATTTTCTTTTCTATTTTTTATCATACACTTTTTTATCATATACTTCATTGTTGTCATTAATATTTCAACGAGAATTATACTGATGAAAAATATTTCGAGAATGATTTCTAATCAAATGATACCTGATTAATAAAAAATGCAACAGTATGAAACGCTGGCCATTCTCGTGCATGATTACCACCATCAATCCATACTATACGTTTCTTATTTTCTTGTATTGGATTACCGATCATAAGTTGAAATTAATTATAAATACAAGAAATAATTGAGATAAGATTTTAAATTAAAATTTAAAATAATCATACATTTTCATTTTTCACTTATCGTTTTTTTTCAACATTACCTTTCCATTCATTACTTACAGTCTTTTTGAATTCATTAATATTTATTGAAATTTTTTTATCTGAAAATTTTTCATTTGTTTTTACTGAGTTTTACCAACGTTACCTTTCATTTCCTTTTTTCGATTTTTCCCAACTATTCTTTTAGGAATTTTATTAATTTAAAAAATGAAGTAGAAGGAAATGTTTGAAAACTTTAACGCATTTATAGTAAATATTATAATTAAAATAAAACAATGTCTAATAAATTTTAGAATATTTTAAGCTTTTGTTTCCTTCTTTTAGAGTGTAACAAATGAAAATAAAAAAAGGCGAAAAGATTGTAATTTTCTGAAATTTAAAATTTTGTTTAATTATAATAATATCAGCTAAAGTACGATAGTTTTTCAATGAATTAACACCTTTAGACAAAGTAATCGTCGTTTTTCACGCGTAAATCCGATGATCTTTAATTGTGTTAAGTTCGGAAATGCTTCTTCAATACTTTCCAAATATTCTTCATATTCTTCTAAACTGTGATATCTGTTGAAATCAAAATTTCTAAAATTATCATTTATTTAAATCTTCTCTTCATGAGAACATCCATACAATGAATTATATATTTAAATGAAAGAGAAATTCATAAGGTAATCAATAATTAACAATAACGGTTACTCTCATTAAATAATTAAAATTTAAAACATAAATGCAAACCTTGCATGTGTAATTTGAAGCACTGATACAAAATATATCAATAACATGATGATAATGATTTTATGCATTTGCCAAGAGTTTCTCGAGATATAATTAAGGATATTTTATTGATTTGTTTTATTTGTTATTCATTACTTTTAAAACAGCGATAATATTCTATATATTCTGCAATTGAAAGATACCTAAATTAATCCAATTATCATTAAATTAAATTGATTAATTAACAATTAGATCGGTAATGAAGGAAAGAAAAATAAACTGTAGAAATTTCATTTTTTTCTAAGAAATTGTAAATATGTGATAATAAATAATAAATTTGTTGAACAATAAATCGATAGTTGTCAATTTTCTCCGAATAATTGTAACTATCTTTTAGTTAAATTATATGTTTGCTAATTAAAATCGGATTAATTAAAACAAATAGATTGACTGAAAGTAATAATTATTATTTCCAAATTGTTTATTTATGTTTTTACAATTAATTAATTTATTTGATATTTTAAATATCGACGAAAAAAGTTAATGTTTATTTGGAACTTTTTTAATAGAAAATAAATTTACTCAATTCAATCTTTTTTTGTTTATTTCTCTTTTTTATAATTAATTGTTAATTAAGCAAAAAAACAACAAAGAAAATAATGAAAAATATCATTTATTTCCTTTGTTACATTACAAATTTATGCATCAAATTGAAATTGAAAAAAGATAATTAAGTTAATTGTTATAATTTAATCAAATTAATTGTCTTAAATAGAGAAATTTATAAGATATTTGTAACAAAAAAACCGAAAAGACGAAAGAGAGAGAGAGAGAAAGAAAGAAAGAAAGGGGAAAAGGTGACAGTGAACGGAAATAGTTGAAGTTTAATTTATTATTGTAAGATTTAAATCAATTAATTTAAAGAAAAGAACAAAATTGGAAAATTGTAAAATATATGTTAGTTTCATATGCCCGTGGTTTTCATTCATTTATAAGGAAAGCTTAATAGATCGGGAACCAATAAGGAAATCGTGAAAGGGCGGGGGAAAATGATAGAGACAAAATGGAAAAGAAAGAATGTTATATGAAATAGTAATAAATGTATATAAATCGTATAAAGAAATATATCATAAAAACTGGTTCCTTTCTTATCATTTATCATTCCTTATCATATTCATTTATTTTCGATAGTTTAAATTTGTCGTAATTAAATTTAAATTTAATAATGCTTGTTTGTTTTCTATTAATTACGCATTGTTTTATTTCTGTTTTCCATTTAATGAAATAATAAGAATTTTGTAATAAACAAACAAATAAATTTTGTTTCAAAAAAAGAACCAGTATTATTAAACTTCTCGGGAAAAGAAAAATTATCACTTCGTCGTTTCATTTCTAATTTTTCATCACTGAAATGTTTGCGGTAAAATCCTATTTTTTTCTTTGCTAAATGAAGAAAGTTTTACTGATAATTCATTATCATTATCATTATCATTATCATTATTATTATTGAAGTTCGAAATTTTTACAAATATAAAAAATAAATGGCAATTTTTTGCAAAATTTTACGATTGAAAAGTTTTCTTTTGTAACAATCATTTCTGATAAAAATGTTTTCTCAGATTCTCTGATAATTATTTCCCCACTTGACTTATATATTATTAATTATTAGAAAGGTATTAATTGATAAAAAGATTTCGAGAGAATCAGAATGGAAGGATTCTTACTGGATAGTAATTAGCGAAAGTAATGATTTTTATTATCAATTTTATGTATTACTTACTATTATTATTATCATTATGATTCATAGCTGTGAATTTACATATCCAAATAATATTAATATTGAATATAATCGTTAAAAAAAGTTTTTGTTTATAAAAAATATCGTTTTTTGTTTCTGGCAAAAAAAGAGAAAATCATGTTTGAGAAGAATCTCTACTAGTTGACACCTATCATTAATTAAAGTTGAAAGTATTTCTTTTGTTTAGATCGATTAATTTTTCTTGAAAGGAAATATTCTGAAATTGTTCATTGATTAGCAGTGACTTAATTACTAAATAAATTATTTATTAAATGCAATTAATTATTTCATTTATCGAATTATTTTGTTTGATTATGATAATAAAAATATTGCATATGATTGTTGACAATATCAACTTGCACATTAACAATAATGATAATGATTTGCTTGTTAATAACACTGATAATGATTTATTGATTATTTGATGATTAAAATAAATTATTTAACTATTACAATAATATAATTAATGCGAAATTTGTTACTCTTATTGGATAATTCATTACTATCATTATTATTAGTAATACATTTCATCTTTTTATAAAAGACACTATCAATGATCGCTGTCTCTAAGCATTTCTATTAAAACAAATTTTGTTCTTCTTTTTCATCCCATCGTTACTACTATTTTCAGTTGCAATTTTCACTTCTATGATTTATTTTTTAATCAATTAATCTATTTTAGATTACTGTCATTGCTGAAATGCCCCTTGTAATTATTTAATTAATACTTCCTTGTAAACTAGAAATTTCCTTTCTCTTATTTCATTAAATCAATTTATCATCTATTCATCTTCTTTCCTCCATAAGAGATAGAAACAATCAATTATTTCCTAATCACTTAGTGCTAGAATGAAGCAGATAGCACGCGGAAAAATTTCAACATTTTTTCATTCAGTTCATATTTCTCCTGCACAATTTACCTTCCAGCGGCAACATCTTAAATGTCAGAAAAATAAATGGTCAATATCATATTCATTGTAGGTAGAAAATTCAATCATATATTGATTAATGTTTGAGATGAAAAAGGAGGAAGAACGTAAATCAAAAATTCATTGTTTAAATGAAATGAAAATAATAATTTGAATGTTTGAAACTAACTTTTATGACGAAACTGACCAAATGATAGATATATGATATGATCAAATAAAAATCAATTGAAATCTCTATCGAAATATTCCATTGTAACATGAAATTATTATTCATTTATACTATTGAAATCAGAGTTGAGCGAATATTCAGAATTGAATTGAGTAAGTCAAAAAATGATATTGCAAGAAATTTAACTGTCACAAATCATCTCAACGTATGATTTAAAACAAAAGGATTTACGGATTATTATTAAATGATCAACAAATATAACTAATTTTACCTTTCACATCTCATTGCATGTCTTTTCTTTCCATCAATGTTCAAAAGAATTTTTTTATAAATAAATTATTATTTGATATCAAATTTAAAATACAATCGGAGTTATATCATCAAATCACATTTCCCGGAATTTTCGCTCTTTTTAAGGAAATAGCGCAAAAAAAAAGAGAAATAATTTCAAAGAAAGATTATCCAATCAGTTCATCTGATAATTTGTTATCATATTATCACGAACTTAAATAAAATTGATAGTTTAAGCATCTGATAGCGAATATTCACGAGAAGTGAAATTATTTTAACAAAACAAGAAAATGATCTATTTCAAAATGTGAACAAATAAAATCAATGCTGAAGAAGTAGAAATGATACCTTAAAGATTAATAATATTTTCTATCGTTTTCTTTGTGGAAGCCAAAAAACTATTCCATAATCTATTCTTGCTAACATCCGGTCATTCATTATTCGTATTTTAAAATTAAGCATTAATAGTTTAAAATGAAACATACCAAATTTGATTAGCTATTATCACTTCAATGAAATACATAAATGCAAAACACTCAACCAAATGTCCCGTTGAGTTTTATATGCAAATTGCAAGATATACAAGCATTTAATAAACACAAAACTATTTAATTAATACTCTGTTTACATGCAATATTTTAAGTGCAATTAAAGATCTTCAAACATGAAATGAAAGTTGAAATGAAACATTTCAAGCCATTTCTTTATCAACCATAAACCTGATATCATACGTTTGCTTTTATGAAACACAGAAAAGATAGCTTCTTGAAATGATTCTTAGCAAAATTATCGCCGAAAAAAAGGATTCATCGTTGTGTATTAGTAAGAGGTCATAATGAAAAGCAGAGAAATTGAAGAAAGTGTAACAAAATTAAAAACGATTTGTTGATGTCATAAATAAACACCACTCTTTCATTAAATGTTTCATTAAAAAAAGGTAATCATGTTGTTGTTTATGTTTTCATTAATACATATTTGTCTCCAATTAATTAATTTCAATTCTGTGCTACAGACTAAATTAACAAGTCTTTTGTTTTCTTGTCGTTCAAAATAGCATATTTTCTTTTTTCTTCCTCTTTCATGGAAAAGTCTTAAATTGTAACCAAAGTTTTAAAAAGTTAAGCAAATATGAATCTCATATAAAGATATTAGGGAGTATATAATCTATTATTCACTTATCACATACTTATCACAATTTGTAAAATAATCACTTCGATTGAATCTGAGAGAAAAAAATAAAAATTTTTGAAAATTGTCTTCTCTATGCTGCATCCCAATTTCGAACCATTCCTTGAACTGCATTATTGTAAAAATTACATTTCATTTCCGCATCAAAATCATTGCTCTAAAAGACACACAAATATGTGTCGTTGTTAAACATTAGTTTGTAACATTGATCTAGGATTTCCTTTTGATTTACTTTCGTTTTTCTTCCTAACGAATTCTGAATTTGTTCGCAACCATTATTAATACGGTATTTTTCATCTCCCTGGAAGTACTGTTGAACAGAAGAAACATATGAAAAATGAACAATTAATAAGAAACCATCCTCACATTTATTCAAATTTGCATAGGTCGAAAGTGTCGTGTAATATTATACAAACTACAACAGAGAAGAAAAGCAGATAGTATGATCATTTCCAAATAAGTCCAACAATAACTTCCTTTAATTCGAAAGACATTCCAATAATATCATCGCACTTTACTTTTTCCAAAACATATAATTTTCAATTTGCCATTTTGTAAAAGAATTAAAATGAGAGTTGTAAAACTTACGAAGATATTCTCTCTGAAGCAAGCATTAGATATGCATGAAATTGCTTACTGCCAGGAATAAACTATTGGAATTCCAGAGTTGTTCATTGTAAATACCAATTTAGCTAAATTATCAGACTTATCATTCTCTTAATAATTATGCAAAAGTTCTCAGAGCAATGATATCAAAATTAAGAAAATTCACATCGATTGCTATCAAATAATCATTCGATTGATAATCGACTATCATTCCACTAATTCTCGATATGTGAAAATACCATAAAATCATGCATTTAAATTCCATGAATAAAGATTTAATTTTTCATGGAAATTTCTTTCTCTTCTTGTTATTCAAATTTTATAACGCATTCTTTCTGAAAGAGATATTATCAAAATCATATCTGTAGAAGAAGAAATAATTGAAGAATTTCATCGATCCTCTCATATATCTTACTTTTTATGACATGGTGCTACCATTTCAATTGCTTATGTATTGGGGCATCTATTACAGTATCAAGGAACAGAGAAGAGGTGATTAACTAGTTTATTTCTGCCTCTTGAAGTTTATATCGTCCTTTATTTCCGCCTCTTGAAGTTTATATCGTCCTCACTTTCCCTCTTATGACTCTCCGATTAATATGTGAAATTTTTGTTCAATGTGACTGGATTTTTCTAAAGGTGCAACATAACGAAAATGAAACTAGCTATGTATCTATTTCTGGTTATCTTGTTTGTAATATCACCATAAGATCGGTAATAGAAGTGCGGAATGAAAAGAGTGATTTCTTGCTAAAAATATTTTCATGCAATCCCAAGAATTTTATTATTATAATAAATTACGTACTGTAATAAATTATGAACAACCGGATTAAAAATGACCACAAGAAAAAAATGAAAAGATGGGCAAAAAATACAAAGATCTCAATAGAATCTTTAGCACTCATTAAAATAAACTACTTTCCATTTTTTGTGCAGCAAACTTTTTCTATAAATGGAAAAGAATTTTCCATATATGAGTCATCTTGAGGCTTTCACTACCAAGAAAAGCAGAATCATATGCACATTTGAAAAAAGCGACATGTATTAACTTATATTATTTAAATATGAGTACAAGCTGCAAAACTTTTGATTCAGAAATCAGAAAGAGAAAACAAAAGATAGCAAAAGGATCAAAGCATGAAAAAAAAGAAGAATGACGAATATGTTCAATATATTTGAACAGATTAATCGGCGGTACTCGAATTTCAATCAGATTCTTACGAAAAAGAATATATCTACTATTTCCACATTAAATGCAAAACATTCAAAAATATTTTCTTCATAAGAAATTATACAAAATAAGAATAAACGGTAAAATACGTATCAATAAAAAAAAAATATCACAATAAGCACTAATCTTGAGAATAGATAAACACCGACGCTTTAGAAATATACATAAATAATAAATTAATTATTCATACACTGAAGAATAGTGTGATGCTATACAATCCTTTTCGGCTAAAAAGGATCAGGAGAGAATGATTACTCCTCGGTCATATATCGTTTTATTGATAATGTGACACAAATGGAACAGAATCTTCTGCTTAATTTTCTTATTTTTAAAGTAAATTGTCCCTATTGTTCATCTCGTGATCCTCAATAAGATCCTAAAATCAATTCCTTCCACTCTTCTCAGTGATCATAATTTTCTAAACAATGTACTATATTTCATTTCAGCTTTTAAAGAAGTTAAATAAAAATACTTAAAAGGTTGTCAACATTAAAACAAATTAGACGACTATACCAAAATAATTATTTGTAGAAGATATTCAATAGAAGTACAGTAACTTGTTGATTTTATCAATGAGGAAATAATAATACTAAAATAACATATAATCCCTGCTTTTCATTCACAGCAAAGCAAAGCGAATCAAAAGAAAGCTACTGCAGCACTTTAAAAGAAATTATGACAAAAGCGGCCAGAACGTCAAAGAAGAATGAGGATACAAAATTTTTCAAAGTTCAATTCATTTCAGAATTCGCTACTACATGAAAAACGCATTAGTTAACACAATTGACACTTGTTGATGCTTTTAAATTAACAAATAATAATACATAAAAAAGCAAGATATTAAGCCTTTTGTTAGGAGTATAATTCGAAAGATAATATTTGAGAAACAACAAAGATCACTCTATTCTTTTTGAAAATTTAATCTAATCTAATTTTATGCTTAATTTCTCATGGAAACTATCCAATTTAAATCTAAAAAAAATGCAAGCCTTTAAAAGTCAGCATTGTGAAGCGCTCCATTTAGTCTTTCTCTTACTCATACAAGGAACTGAAATGTGAGAAGCGTCCACTAGGTGAAGCTTGTGCATCGATTTGGTGGACTGCCCATTTGCTTCAAAACACTATCCAGCCATTGTAATGGACCATTAAGATAAGCTTCGACCCAACATGGCGTAGCGGTGATCGTTTGACGACGATACTCCGCACCCCAACCTTTTACGAAAGATACTCGAATAGTGCACATTCGAGTAAGAGCATAAACAGCTTCGAAGCCTTGCGGAACTGATGCAGCTAGTAATGCAGCAAATTCGGCGTTGTTAAAAATTTTCAAATTGCAATCTGAAAAAAGCAAAATGCTCTCTATAAATGTATACAAACTCATGGTAAAACAAAATTTAAACCTACTAGGAATAAACACATTTCTCGTCTTATAATTTCCATCTTCTTTTCTGAACTTTGAAGATCTTTTGACTTCTGGATAAAAATTGGGGAAATTTAAATGCTGAGATTAGATTTAAGGTTTAAGGTGAAAAGTTAAGGAAGTTTTATAAAATTAAGATAAAAATTTGAGAATCTCTGAGCTGAATTCACTCACTAGGTGGGATTTTACAGACCGTAGCCGGATGCCAACCATGTCGCTGATTACAATTTGGACTTTGCACAAATATAGCCGAATCACTTAAGCATTCACAGAACACCTCACTTCCTATATAATAGAAGCGAGCACCGCGACCTAAAATTACCCCCATAAAAACAAAAAACTACTAAAAACGTAATAATTTAGGCAAAATTAACAAAGGGATTAGATTGGACGATTGCAACTAAATTCCATGAGCTTCAAAAAAAAATCACATATGCTATTTGATACAAATCAGTAATATAAAATCTCGATTTTACAGGAATTTGATTTTTTTTTCGACATGAGAAAGAAATGGAACATTATAAAATGCTTATTTCACTTGAAAATTTTTGGAATTACAAATCAAGCAAGTAAAACCTCTTCGGAAATCCAAATTTTCTAAAACAATTGGATTTAAAAACGAGATGCTTAAAAGTGTATTAAAAACATTTCGTACGAGCTTTACCGATATGTTTTCGAGCTTCCATGACACTAGCAGTACGGTTAACATTGGAAAGTTGACCGAGGCAAAAACGTTCCGCGTCAGAAGGTGCTGTATATCCGTCAACAATCAAAGATGGTTGTGATGCATGAAACGTTTCACCAACTCGTTCTGACAACTCATAGTATGACACGGAACACCAAAACGGCGGTTCACAATATTCGACGGCGATTAAATTCACTAAATATAGAATATATAACAAAAATATTTACGACAAACTATGCTAATTATCGTGAAATAATTTTATTAGATTCTTGTAAAGACAATAACTTAAACGGGACATGTAATGATATTTGGCACCATAAATATCTTCTGGAGAATGACAATCACATAATTGTCAAATTTCAAAGAATTAACATAAAAAATTCTCAGCAAAAAAACAATTTATCCAAAAAAAAAAATGGTGTTATAAATTAAATAAAAATTACAATTATTAGCTGTCGGTGAAAGTACTTGTGATGAATCTGGGCTCTGACCTTCGTCCATTTCCAAATCTTCGCTCATATATCCACGTGGAGAAATTGCTGCAATAATTGACTTATTAGTCAAATTCTAATAATTTATAAAAGAATTCCACCAATTTATTTAAAAAAACCAGTTTAACTTGTATTAAAATAATTTTTTTGAACTACTTTTTATTTTCGAAAACAAACCCTCAGTATTGGCAGGGAATAACCGATTTTCCATTGTGTTCTCAGTGGGCGATAGTGGCATAATACTGATAGCATTAATTCCAACAGGACTGTTTATATTTGGTGATGAAAGCATTGAGGAATTGAGATTATTCTGCCATCCTGCCTGTTCACTACCAATTACAGTGCGATTCGGGACACCTTGCGTCACCATCTGTGATATTTTAATATAAATAACATCAGTTGCAGTTAAACATACAAAATCCTATAATAAAGTGTACCGTACGATAAAATAAAAAATGACCTTTTATTACAGAAATCTTGATAAAGATTACACGAATTGCAAAACAATATCATTATAACTTAGTAAATATGAAACCTCATTAGTGTCCATTGCTGGATAAACAGTTCGGAGTGGTTTTGAAAGATCACCAACATTGGAAAGGCTGCTAATTCCATTGTCATTTCGGGGTATAAGAATAGCAGGAAGTGCTAAAAACCGAAATAAGTCGAAAAAATACAGCACCTGCCAGAGTAAAAGAATCAATAAAAAACGTTTGATGACACAAATAACAAAATCTACGAATGGCGCTTCCGAGATTATATGAAATATTTGAGAAATATAGAGGAGAGTAATGTTTAGAAATTAGCATGCTGCATAAATTTCGTAAAATACAGAAAGGTCCCATCAAAAATAACAATAGCGGAATAAGACATACGAGGATTCTCGATTCTTTCATAGTGATAGGGATTGACACAGACTGATTCCAGCTTCTTGCTATACGGAAAACGACAATGTGGAACAGATTTCAACTGATGAGATGAAGCAAGTTCTGGATAACGCCACATACGACAGTAGATAACATGAGGCAAACACTTACGTTGTGACACCTGTAACCGGCCATCCAATGACCTGCAACAATTTGGGAATTAAAAAATGATGTAAAAAAACTTGGAAGTTGGAAAAATGGAGAAATGCTCTGAAGAATCTGATCATCTTTCATTTTGCAATATTTTTTCGGATGAAGAAGACAAAAGCTATTTAGCTCAATACTTGCATTAAAAACAATTTTTTTACTGATAACAAACAGTATAATTTAGTAATCATGATGGATAATACAGAAAGTTTGCTAAACATCGAGCCTGGATTTCCTGGAATTGCAACTCTTTCAAGACAAGTATGTGCTGCCGCTATTTGGAATACAAAGCTTTATCACATCTTCGCTTGATTCCAGAACATCTAGTAGTAACCTTTCAGTATATGCTGGTTGATAACCAAACACACTTAAACTTCTTTCCAAAATTACTAGCAATAAATCACTTATTTCTAAGAGTGAGTACATGATTGTGAAGTAATTGACGAGGGAACAAAAAAAAAAAGGATATTACCGTGGAATACACACACAATCAGTATTTGGATCTTCACTCGAAATTGCTTTTTCCAATTCATCGATAGCTTTTGATTTTTTGAGTTTCTTTACCAAACTTTTTACCGCTTTTTCAGGCCAGTGTTCATCCTTCAGTGTAGCAATAATTTAGTTTCATTCGTTTCCATTTGAATTTCATTATATTCAATTTAAATGAATTTCTTAAGTTTCTGCTCATTCACACTTAATTCGATTCATATTGACTTTGATTCATTTCACGTATATCAATCTAATTCTGTTTAAATACAAATCCCAAAAAACATTACATTCAATTTCTTTTAGCTTGATACATATGAATCGAAGCTCATTCTGTATAATTCATTTTCAGTTTTATCCGAACCATTCACACTTAAATAAACTAACCATCATCTAGTTTTTTATTTACTTCGGTTTTTTAAATTCACTTCTCTCGATTAATTATATTACAATTCACTTCAGCTATATTGAACAGATTACACTTTTTTTTCGTCAACTCAATCTAATTCAAGTCATTTTTTTATAAAAATCTATCCAATTTATATCTAACTTGATTTAAGACCACGCATTTATTTCAGTTCAATATAATTCATTTATATTTAAATTCAATGACATTCAATTCAACCCATTTTGGCACAATCTATCCTAATTCAATTCTGACTTATTTCAGTTTTACTAAACTTCGCTTTTATTAAAGCCAACATTGTTATATTTAAATCTAGATTCGTTCAACTCAGCTCAGTTTAATCGAAGTTCATTCCTGCCCAACTCGATCCAGATTCCTGTTAACTTAAGCCAAATCTTAAATTTACTAAGCAAATACATGTTTAAAAATCATAACCTCGATGTTGGTCGTCTCTTCACCAAGAGGCTTTTCCCGAATCATTGATACCAGACGACGTACCGTTGCACTAGCCGTCCCGATGTCAAATAAGCCTTTCATGACGGAACAACCAATGATAGAATAAAATTATAATATAACTGTTAGTATAACTAAAATAATATACATAAAAATGAATTGATAATCAGGACTAGAATGAAACAAGTTAGTTATATAAAACGATACCGTAAGGGAGTGAAGCGGTATTACAAAGAGACAAAATTACAATGTAATAAGCAGATAAGGGAAATGAAAAACACGGTAACAAATTTATTTCACTTTATATAATTAAATTTTGTATACGACTATTAAATCTTTCCGAAAAAATTGATTAATGGTACAGTTAAGATACAAACACACTAATAGTTAACTAATTACAAAAATCGAAAGGATCACGGGATTATACGCATTGTACATTTCAAACGGATATATAAATAATGCGGTCCCGAGAAACAATCAGCGCAAATTTAAGGACCATGCATGTTCCGAATAAAAGGTAAGGTGTCATTTTAAGAATGTTATGCTTTCTTTACTTTTCTTTTATTTCGTGATTACGATTCTTTTTGTTTTTGCTTATTCTTTTTTCCCATCTGTGCTTATCTCCTTCCCGTCCCATCATTTTCTATTTTTCATTTAACTTGTTCCTTTTTTATCCATTTCTTATATTTCTTTTACCTTTTCTTTATATCGTGCCTTTTTATTCACTTCCAGTTTCTACAGTGCTATATATAACTAAAACAAAATACAATCTTAATTGCATAAGCATATTTCCTAATCATGTTTTCTGTACGAGAAATATTTGCTTTTTTCCAATTTTTGCGGAAGAGCAATCCCATTATCCATTTACATACAATATATTATTTCACTTATAGATGTATTTAATAGCGAATTAGCTGCTCTTTGATCCGTCTTACATGAATTAAACGGATATACCGAGCTGATGAGGCAATGCGATAAAAAAATTATAAAAAATGGACATAACAATAAACGGTGCCCTTTTTTGTACCCAGTTAGGCATGAGCCTAATGCAGACATTCTTCATGTTTTATTATGTCAAAGTATTCTTGAATATTTACAAGATCGATCAGTTTTGGTTTGGTGTGGCGCAGATATTGTTCGCTATTTGGAATACCATCAATGATCCGTTGTTCGGTTATGCTCAGGTTAGAAATTAATACCATTTAAGAAGAATCATAAGAAGTACCACGAAACTAGTTTATGCTCAAGTAAAAATATTGTCAGGAAATGCCAAGATTTCTTGAATAACGATTAATTGTCTGCTTTATTAGTTTAATTTCTTATCAGTAGTTGTTGAATTTATGAATGGGATCAACACAAATAGCTAAAATGAACCAGTTTATCGAATTAAATATCTTTATTTCGCTTTCATCATATTAAAGACTTTTATTGTTTTCTAAATAATATTATAACTTTCTTGCTTATCAGTATTTGTAAGTTTTCGTAATCATTTATCACGTAAATTCATTTTTTTGCCTAATAATAATCGATGCAATAAAGTTGTAATCGTGCATCCTCTGATTTCGATTAGCTTTTTTTTGCTTTTAGGATGTTAGTATTACGTGGTTTCATTGCCGCAAAAAAGTGATATCAATCCTGGGACCTTGTCTAGCAGGCTCTTTTTTGGTTTTATGGTTCCCATGGAACAGCATGGATGAGTCGTCGTTGCCGTATGTTGCCGGATGTCATTTGATTTTTGGTCTTTTCTTCTATGATGCCTTCTACAGGTATCTATTTCTTCCTTGCTTATCTTTTTATATTGTTTTTTCCTTAATTGAATAGGTAAATAGAAATTTTCTCCAATTTATGTAGATTTATCACTGAAATTTATGCTTGCTTTATTGTACGGATTAAGATGACATTCACTTTCCACTTTCAATCACCGATTAACTCTATAATTAATTATTATCAATTGCAGTTGTATTAGTGTTGCATGGAGTGCCTTATTCGCGGAAACAACTTGCAGTAAATCTGAGCGTATTTCAGCTTTGAAATTTTCCCAATTTGCAGTTCTTTTATCTGTTAATATTGTGCCAGTCACTGAGAAACTGACTGATGGACTGAATGTATGTTCCACTTCACCCTTTGTTAACTTCTGATTGTAATATATTTGACTAATAGCTTTTATGCATTTGAAATACGATATATGCACAGTAGTAAATGAGGCATACAACAAAAAAGCTAACCGTTCCAAATATAAAAGATAGAAGCTCTTATAAGTTACAAAGTGTATCCAAAAACTTAACTTAATTTTTTTTGTAATTATTGACGGATTTAGAGATTTTAATCATAATATTAAATGATGTGATTTCAGAATTTTCGTGCTTTCCAATGCATTGGTGTTGTTATCGCGGTATTAGCACTGCTTTGTTTCAAAGTTACCGGATCATTACGTTATCAAACCATATCAGTGCATGAAGATTTTTCTTCAGCAACACCATTGCAGGAAGAATCTAAGGAAAAAATTTTGAATGTTTTCAAAATAACGAAACAAATATTAGCAAGACATGATTTTCGAGCCATTACTATAACTTATTTTCTTCATGCGTGCAGGTTCATTTCTTTTTTGTCTTTTCAAAGATTTTTTCTAAGTTTATAATTTTTATTTTGAATCCAGCAGCAATGATTTAGTTTCCATCTTAGTTTTTTTCAAGCTGACATGAACTAATTTGACAGTTATTTTCAGGTCAACCGCTCATTTGAACTTTGCTGTCATTGCCACAGAAATACTCATCCCAGAGCAGGTTATGATAAAAGGATCTTGGGAAATGAGTCTTTTCTATGCGGCGTGCACACTTATTCCTCAGGTTGCTACTTTTTCTGTTTTCTTTTCCAGTTACAAAATGTCATAATATGGAATTTTATCTTTCTAATATATTAGAATTGCAGCTGTTTGTAATATTAAGTGGTAAAACAATCATCACAATAGGTATCGCGTCAGTTATTATGAAATCCTTTATGGCTTCCATGATTGCTTCCGTTTTCGTCATAATGTTTGGATATAATCGTCCATATTTAATCATTTTATTTATGTTTTTTGACAGGTATTTTCAATAATTTCTTAACGTTTGTTGATATATGATATTTTACTTATCATTTACTGAGTGGTTTGAAATATTACCAAGCTTTATCCGTTACCGCAATATGCTGGGTATCTAATACATGAAAATATCTGTTCTCTCCATTTTTAATTCATCATGATGAATAGATAATTAAGTAGAATTGTTTATAGGAAAATAGAAGTTTATTAAATAAAAATTCACTCTCCGATAACAATTTCCTCCATTTTCAGCATATCAGTTCATTCAATAGCTCCATTATATCAAGTTTTGTTAGCTGATTATATTGATGAAGATATGGCTCTTTTTTCAAGACAGTAAGCTGCCATATTTTCCATTTTCCTTAATTTTTCCGCAAAACTAATGGATTGAATTCACTGCATTGTCAAATTTTTCTAACTTAAAGTTTGTTTTGTTTGATACTGTATTTCGAATAATAATTTACTGAAAATGTAATTCAGTTATTGCTAACTGTGAATTGTTGATAATTTAAATATTTGACTTTTTGTCAGTATATTTTCAGAAAGCCAATCTCCACTATTATATATAGCTTAGCCGCTCTGTTGGTCAGACCAGCTCAGTCTATTGCACCATTTATTATCGTAATGATTCTTACTCATTATGGTTATAAGGTTACTATTAAAAGTTCTTGATTTGATTTTAGATGCGGATGTGCATATGTTAAACACGTGCAAGTGCAACATAGGTGTGTTGAGCAATTAGCAGGGCTAAGCAATTCCAGTGATCTGATGAAAATACACGGCATTATATATTCAATTTTAAGGCATTATATATTGTTTGAATGGGACAAAGCATAAATATAAGGCAAAAGTTTGCATTTTTTCAATTATTCATTAAACTTTTTCTTAATTTTGCAAGTAATTTAGGAATACCAAACGATTAATTTGGCGAGTGTGCAACTCAAAAATTGTATGTTTTATGTCGTTTGTTCGACAACATTAGTAATTAGTGCTGTACAGTTACTAATTTTTTATTCTTTTGCTTTAAAATGCTCAGTAAAAAATTTTAGGTAATATTTTTATGTAGCATTAGTTCTTAACAAACGAGAATTGTGTTTCTCGTTTGTTTAATTTGTGTTAGCAACCATACAATTAGGATGATTACTAAGAACTATTAATATTGATTATTGGTAATTATTAGTATTTGATTTATTTTTGTTAATAATTGGTAATAATTGAACGTCGTATTCAGTTGTTGATAAGAATGAGTGATTGTTGATAAATGTTAGCATATTATAGTGAAATATTATAGTGAAAAGTTAGCATATTATAGTTAGCATATTATAGTGAAAGTGAAATTGACCATAACCTATGATATATGTATATATATATATATATATATATACATGCAAATAAATAACTTACATAAAGCATTCAGCTTGTTGACGTGGTATGTTAATGACTGGATTGGAAGCGAAAAAAAGCTTCTACATAATGATATTGTATTATTGATAAAAATGAGCAATAATTTTGAACCACAATTTTATAATGCAAGAAAAGAATTTTGTTCGATTTATAATACTCCGTCATCCGGAATTTATCTAAATTTCCAATCAGTGTTTTCTTTTGAAGGGAACATAACTGCATATTAATGGTGGCATTACAGAAACTTCTGAATGAAACTTATGATTATAGTTATAAAAATCATTTTATGTAATATCATTTAATGATTTTATGAAAAAATCAATCGATGATACTATACACAATATTATTTGTTCTTTTCTTTTTAAGCTTTCAAAAAACTTTTTCGTTTCAAGGTTTTACAACTTTTTTCCATAAGAGAATAATAAGGTTTATTTTTCCGCAAGTACTTAATTGTTCTTGATATAAAAAGGCCATTCATTGTCTTAGGATTGGTTAGCGGTATTTATATATATATATATATGATGAGAATGCTAATGAGTTGTGATGTTATTTATTTGCTGCAAAAAATGAGAAGGAAAAAATGAATTATTAGTTTTTCTCTTTTACTTTAGCCGATTAAAAAATTTTTGGTGATGTAGTTTGGGTAATCAAATTTCATGTCAAAAACTAATTTTATGGAAAGTAACAATTTTTTCGTTCGTTTTAAATTATTCATTTTTTAATGGAAGCTGTGATAGTTATTGTAATTATAAATAAATAATAATAATATATCTATTGTAACATATCATTATTGAATTAATTTTAGAGATATGAAACATGATGTTTTATGGCTTCAACTAAAACGAATAATAAACAAGCCTAGAACTGTAAAACTAGGCTGATATAAAGCAATATAATGTATGTGTGCATGTATATGTGCATGTATGTATAAAAGGGTAATGGTTGAAAGGGTTGCAAAATAAGCCTAGACTTAAGAGGAGGGAAAGGAAAGGCTCCTGTGCATAGTGTGTGGTGTGATGTTGTTGCTAACTAGCCAATCTAAAGCTAACCTCGTGCCATCAGCTTTTCTAAAGGCATGGCATCGGTGAGGGCAGCTAGAAAATGAATGCTATAATTAGAATATGTTCCTTTGACAAATCGATTTATCCAAACATATTAAATTACTGATTTACTTATTCATTTAAAATGCTTGTTTCGTTTGTTTATGTCTTGTTTGCAATATTTAATGCTCATCATTATCCGTTTGCACTTATTTAATGCTCATTATTATCTGTTTACGCTTATTTAGCTATCATCAATAGGTGTAAATTGTTGTCGTGTTGTTTTGGTGTGGTGACTAGCTCAGGAAGTGATAATGGGTGATTACGACTATCTGATCAAATTCTTAGCTTTGGGTGATTCTGGAGTTGGCAAGACTTCCTTGTTGGTTTGTTTATTTTCATCAATGCTATAAATAAATATCTTTTATTTATTGTTCTTTTATATTTGAAGGATAATTTACAGTTTTAATCCAATCGAAATACGTCTAATTAAGACAAAATCGTTAAAAAACCATTTATAATAAATTTTATTAATTTTCCATATCTTTCCATTCTCTTTTATTAACAAATCAGTTAAAACTTGCCATTATTGTCATAATTATCATCATTATCATTATTATTATTATTATCATAGTTTTCTTATCCTTTTGAGATTATTATCTTACATCATTACTAAGTCCAACATTTTATTGTTAACAAATCTCTAATCCTACGTTGATAAAATCTTTTCTATTCTGATATTTGGTAGGAGGATATAATGTTATCAATAAAAAGATCTTTTAATTATTCTTATATCATTATTGTTAAAAAAACAGAAAGATGAAATGGTGCGAATTTGTAGAAATAATTTTCATATTTTTTATATAAATTTTTCTTCTCCTATCATCTTATTCATTCTAGCATCGATATACGGATAACACATTTACCGGTCAATTCATATCAACGGTTGGAATCGATTTCAAAGAGAAGAAAGTTGTAAGTTTATAATTTGCAATCGAATTATGAATAAGAGAAAAGTTGTAGTAATTTTAATAGTTTTATTGAGGTATATAAAAGTGATCGTGGAGGTTACGGCGGAAGGGGACAGCGTGTTTTATTACAACTATGGGATACAGCTGGACAAGAAAGGTTTGTTACTTTCCCATAAAATTTGTAATTTCCATTCTGTTCATTTTTATGCTTTCACAATCATCAAGCAAATATTTTTTTCTTAGTTTAATTTCAAATTATTTTTTGAGTAAAATAAAGTTTATTGTAAAATCGCAACATACCAATGGAAAATTTCCTTTTTCTTTTGGATTATAAAAATAGAAAGTTGAAATCAAAATTTATTTGAAAAGAAAAAAATATAACTTTTCTTTTTTTAGGTTTCGTAGCCTTACGACAGCGTTTTTTCGTGATGCAATGGGTTTCATACTTATATTTGACATTACAAACGAACAGTCATTCCTAAATATTAGGGATTGGTTATCGCAGTTAAAAGTGCATATTTGATTTAATTTATATTCCTTACTTAATTTCATGGCCTCAATAATTTGAAAATTGTCAAAGTGCTGTTGACATCGCACTTTCTTTTTATCGTAGCATTTTTTTAGGAAGTAGAGAGGCTGAATTTATGAATTAAGCTTAATTCTGAAATTCCAGAAACACATTTCTTGCAGATTCATGCATATTGTGAAACACCAGATATAATCATCTGTGGCAATAAATCAGATTTGGAAAATCGAAGACAAGTTAGTACGGCACGAGCTAAACAGCTGGCTGATCAACTGGGGTATTCCAATAAGCATTCTTTGATTAAAAACCGATCCAATTTCAAATTTTAACCTAAGTTTTACTAAAACTTTTTTATCTTTTTGTTTATTTTTTTCTGTTGGAAATTAAGCCGATATATGCCTATTCTTTAATATGCTGTCAAGTCTATATGAAGGAAAGGATGTATGTCGTATAATTTTACAACCCACTTCCTTCCGATAATGCTAATTAAGATAAACCCAGTGTATCGTTTTGTTAGATAAGCTCCAGTTAATGATCCGTCTAGTAATTCTATTTCTTTCCTATTTCCAACTTATCTAACATTTTCATTTTTATCTGATGAAGAAGAAAGCATCAATCAAAAATTTTCCTTAATTTTATTAGAAATTTCCGTTTCAAAATTTTTGTTCACATAATGGATGATATTATTGTAAATTGAATGAAAAAAATTTTTCCTCTTTCTTCACTTCAATTTTACTACTTTGTTATAATTTTGATTGATAAGGCGCACTTGAATATCTCATTTGAATATCAAAAACATTTTAATTATTCAGCCAAAATTACCTATTTTTCGGCACCAAAAACATTTCCTAAGTTACCAATAACTAATTATTTATCTCAAATTATATTATCTTTTTGGTATCGAAAATATTTGCGAACATTCGTTATCCATCCGCAATTATACATATATATTATCTGACGATTGAAAGAATTGTTTAGTACTCATTTAATTCGATTTAGATCGGGAATTTTATATGTTCGAAATTATAAATATAAGAATTGATCGGAGATGAAAAGGAATCATAGTTAGCGCTTTTATCTCAAATAAATACACAAAATTTATATTACTATTATAAAAAAATAAGCTCTGATATCTTTCCTTCCAGACTGCCATATTTTGAGACAAGCGCCTATTCATCAACAAATGTGGAAAAATCGGTAGATTGCTTACTCGATTTGGTTATGCAGCGAATCCAACAATCGGTAAAACATACACGGTTGCCAATTGGTGATAGTAAAGGTATCATTCTGGACGCCGACACAACTTCCTCATATTGTCCCTATTGCTAATCTTACTTTCCCTCTAATAATTCCCCTATTGTTTTCTTCTATCGTCCCGTATAAACTTTTGTAATTTTATTATTAATCTATTGAAGGAAATGTAATTATTTATTTACATTTATGTATATATAAAAAGTATGTGTATGTTATATATACTTAAGTATATATACATATATAAAACATACATATACTTTTTAGGTCAAATTAAAAAATTTTTATCATTTTTGTTGATAAATTCATATCCAAATCCTCATTACTTTTTTTTCCAATTTCCAATTACCTCTAGTTAAAGTCATAGTAGCTAATAGTAATCATTCAATATGCTTAACAGATGAATTTATTCGTAAATCATTTGATCGTATTTTTAAAGACAAAATTAGACCAAAAAAGTTTTAATGTGGAATATTTAAATATGCTACCGATTGCGATGAAAAATATTGATAAATATTGCAGAAGATCTGCCTCAAAAATGTGCAAATGTTTTTCGGTCTTCTCGTTCTTTTGAAATGAATTTTTAGTCAGATGTCAACGAAATTTTGGAAAATTCAGCCGACAAAATAAGTTTTCTTAAAGGATTAAAAATCTACGTCGAAAAGATAAACCGATATTCTTATTAGGAATGTATCGTTGGGGAACGTAATTTTTCCGTAATGTAAATAAAAAAATATCTTGGGAAACATGTAATATCTTGTTAGGTAATCCTGAAATGTTCCTTCCTTTCTAATTTGTTTTTATATTTCATTTTTTTATACCGCTGCTTATATAATTTCATCTGTTCTTTCTTACTGTTATTTCATTTCGATCATTGTTTTGACTTTGCCATACGTATACTGCTGATCATATTCTGTCCATCAAATTCATACAACTTGACAAACATCTACACATAGATGTATGCACAGGACACAATTCGTGGAATTTAAGAAAGGTAAATAGAATTCGTTGACAGAACTGATTTTCGAAATTAAACTCCATGATAATATGATGCAATAGGAAGTGAAAATGAATACATCTTAACATGAAATGCTAAGACGTGAACGTAAATAAAAATACGCACATACATGTAATACTAGAGCTCGTAGAACTATAAGTGGTTAAAGCGATATCAAATTGAACCGGCAGATCAAATACTCTTCAATGTTGAAAAAAGCGAGAAGGCGATACTATCAACGATGGCAATATGCAGCTTGGATTATGATAGCAGTCAGTAAGATGAATAAGGAGATGACTGGAAACCTGGCTTCAGAAAGTTTGGAAATGTCTAATCAAATAGCTATGCTATCAACAATCAGATCATGTGGTGCTAATGTATTGGAATGACAGAATCAATTCCGCTAGTTTTGTTAGCATATCATGATGTTAGCATATCATAAGCATATCATAAGTTTTGCTAGCATATCATATAGGTTTTGTTAGCATATCATATGATATGTTAGCATATCATGTTAGCATATCCAAGTTTAAGTAAAGCCAAATTTTCCACGTAAAAAAATTTTTTAATAAATTTTCTTCCTCACATTAAATGAGTTTTATTGCCAATTTTTGAATATTTATGATGGACATGAATAGAATGGATTAAAATTCAGTTAAAATGTTAAATTATGCTTTAAAGGTATTTGAGGATATAAAACTTGGAAATGAAATAAAATTCGGTTTTCAGTTAATTTTTTTTCTTGCTAACGAATGCTGAACTGGTATCGCAAACTTTTATATTCATAAGTATGAATATGGTTGTATGATTTATACTGCGTTGTGCACTAACTGCTTAAAGAAGAAGAAAAGAAAATTTCAACTTATTTACATTTCGAAAACTAAACAGTTGCAGAGATCTGTAACGCAACTAACAAAATGGAAGAGCTAATCGAGATGTGCGCGTGACATTTTAAAACGTGAAGCCCGTCGAGGTGATCCATCCTTTGAAGACATTGTAACTGGTATTGATTCGCTGATTTTTGTATCGTTATTGACAGGTGGACACCTCTCCAATACTTTACCCGTAAATGCCTAGAATGAAACAAATATTTCAAAGTACTGCAATTAAATTCATATGAAGTTAGTGGCTTCATAATTAACCCCAACATGGTAAACATTATACAACTGTCAATAACATCCAATTTAAAAGTTCTTAGAAACTTAAAACCTAATTCACATACTATAACAGTAATACACCTACCTGTCCAGAAATCGGTATAATTTCTTTCCGATTTTCTGACTCAGCAGCAGCTAAAGCATCTACATCGACTGGAGATTTTTCATTAAAATTTCGTAAAATGGAACGTGGCAAAGGACATGAAAAACGCGGATCCTCATTTATAATCTGCAAATATTTCAACAAACATTCCTAAAGAGTTACTTACCTTCTATTTCCTCTTCCAATATAATTGCGCGAATAAGAAGAAATCATTTAATTATCGAAATTTACAAAGAACAATTCAATTAATACAGCAAGCGATCTTAGGAAATTCACATAAAAATAAACAGTAATAAGCAAAGTTTACTTACTATTTTCGGTTCATTTTCATGCAGCGATATTTCTGAATTTGGTGATGAAATTGGTGTTGTATTAGCTGAATAAGCTTCATCTTCACTTTTGAAACGAACTATACGTTGTGCTTTTTGAGATTCATTATTTGCTTCCTTTAACACCACTTGAGTAATGCTTTCCTTTCCATTGTGCACCGTTTCCATCCTTTTCACTTCTTCTATCTCTTTCAATGAAGTGTTGCTATTTATAGCTTTTTTACTTTTCAAAGGAAAATCATCCGAATCAAGACTACTGCTAAAATTACAATCGAATTAACTATACTTAAGATTAATTGAAAGTAAAAATCAATGGATTTAATGAAGCCAATAATTCTTTAAATTATTTTGGCAAAATAAATATCATTCTAATATAATCAAAATATTTGGAGATAACTGAATGATTATATGATTTAAACTAAATGACGATGACTAAATAGCTATATTTTTCTCTTTTTTAGTAAACTTTTACGACAAATATGTATGGCTTAAAAGGATAATGATACTCAAGTAGTGACGTTACTTATTAAAGCTTAATAGACATATGGTAAAAGCTATATTCTCTAATGATTAAACCTCATTGACAACAATATATGCTGCTTGCACTAACGCCAGCTCATATTACATGCTTTTTGCACTAAACACTAGAAAAGCGCAATTATTGTTGTGTAATTTTGCGGTTCAACAGTCATTCAAAATAAAGATAACCACACGATATATATTATAATTCTATAAACAACTCACCTATAATCGCTTTCTAATTCACCTGCTTCTTCTTCTTGCCTTTCAAGTTCATCCAATCTTTCTAACAATTTCTGATAATCCTAAATTTCAAACCATTTTATCGTATTTTCTTTTAAATGAAAAATCACCCCTTTCAAGGGGATGGAAAGCAACTCTTGATATCTGCAACAGCCGCAGAAAATAAAGCACTCATTCCAATTATACATAGATGATTTATAAAGTTCAATTGACAGATGATAAAAAAAAAATCCTGCTCTAACCGCAGAAAAATTTTCGATTTTTTCATCAAATCCTTCTGTAATTCCTTCATCATAATCTTTGGTTTCATCCAGCTTCTCATGTGTTTTCATACATAAATATTCCGCACTAAAAAAAATTAAAGTGATAATTGCATAAAAAAGCAGTTTGATAAAATGGTTGATAAAACAAATTGATAAATTGATAAAACATTGACATTGATAAAATTGATAAAACAAATCTTCAATCAGGTGAAGTGCATTGCGCATGAATTAAGATAAGATAAACTTAAGATTAGAAAAAGAAAAAAATATAAGACAGAAGAAACCAGTCTTAAACCTACCGCTACAATGATAAATAAAAAAAAGAGAGATCTGTAAATATTTACTTCACTAATTCACTAATTGTCTCAGCTGTATCTTTCTTGTTATTTAATCTTCCGTTTTTTTGCTCGAAGTCTTCCTGAAATATAAATTTTTAAAATTATTCCAGTACGGAACAAAAGTAACTACAAAAATTCATTGATAATCAAATTGTGCTGCTAACTACACTTTCATCTTTCAGTGCCACTCACTTTTACAATTATATTTCAAGCTTCATGTTCCAACTTGTGTTCAATAAATAATTGCTTACCTCAGCATTGCATCTTCCTTCCAGTTTTTCTTGTTCCATATAATTTTTTTTACGCATATATCTAACTAAAACATTATATTGAGAAAGAAGGAAAATAATTAGATAATAAGCTGTGGTGTTGCATTATACACTTGAGATGGAAAAATGATTTTTAACTGTTGGTTAATATATAAAAGAAATTTTTAAAATAAAGCTTGTATTAATAGAAATATAATCAAAATCATCACATTAATGGTAACTATATCTAGTGATATCCATAACTTTTCACTAGTCGCTGCCGAGTGATATTTATGAATGTATCAGTAGATTTAAGCGTTCTCTTGAAAATTCGTGTAAAATATATAGAATGCTACACTACATATAAAAAAGGTATCTAACATTACATTTAGATTATCACTTATCATTTAGTCATTTAGATTATCATTACATTTATAGATTATCACTTCTATTCGAATTGATAAAGAACTCACATTTTTTTTCTTCGTCATATTTTGCCTCATCAAGTGGTTCCCGTATTTCAACTTGTTCCTTCCCCTATAAGCAAATTACAGATAATATTGTGCGATATGTTTTTGAAAATATTATAAATTATACACAAAAAAGATGGAGTTATTTTAAAAACTTTAAATGAACTAGTAGAATTGTGTGCGTCATTTTATTACTAGATTATTATAAACGCAGTTATTAAAATCTAATGATCATGCAAGTTTCTCTGGCATTATCTATCAGTTTCTGGCGACCACTTTATCTGGTTATGATTATGCAAAAATTTATTGTAAGATCATTAATATTATGAAACAATTTTAAAATAGCCCACCAAATCAAACAATTCGCTACCGAACTCCATTTGAGTTAAAGCACGCTTCCTCTCTTTTTCAAAATCGTCGATACTCTTCTGGATATCTGATGAATACTATTCTGTTATTTCATAATAAACAACAAATATTTAAGGTGTTACCATATTGATTGCAACTAGTTAATATTATAGCTCTTACTTTCCCAAATATGTAGCATTATATAATAAACAATCATGCAAGTAGTTCATTGCATAAAGAGCGAAAATTATCGCTTTTTTAAGTTTAAGGCAAATAAACTTACAAGATATTCGACGATCAATAATTTGACATGCATGAAAGCATGAACATACTGCGAAATAATTATCACCAAGTAAAACCATTACTTTATTGGTATGCACGATTCGACCAGGCATAAAACCCACTTTACCCAAAGGAACCTGAAATTGGAAAAATCTAATGCATAGTATAAATTTATAAAAGAATGAAGAAAATTTACGTGATATTTTAACAGCCGCTAATAGCATATTGCATATAATTTTGTGAAACTATTATTCATACATGTAAACAAACCTTTATGAAAAACGAAAAATTACAAGAAAAGATTATTTCAATAAAAAAATATGAGATAAATTTCCTTACGTTAACATTATGTGTAAGCTTTTTTGGGAGATCCTCGAGATGTTTTTGTAATTTTCTGTAACTTTCGATCTCTTCTTTTCTTCTTGCTATTTCTGTGTCACACAAAATTATTTCCTGAAAAAAAAAGGAAAATCCTAGTTTTTTAAATTAATTATCGAGAAATCATAAATTCTGCCTTTGTTTTCAATTAATGTAATGGTGAATGCAGCAATAAAGTGTTTATAACAAAACTCAACTCTTTACTATTCCATGAAATCCAATAGTGATAGATTTGAAGAATTAAAAGTACTATACAGCATCAACGAAGCACAGGAAGTACATTTGATTCAATGCTTCTGATCTGATTTAATAAAATGTAAATAAGATTCAAATCTTTCCAGTTTTTTAGGGAAATAAAATATGACACATTTAATTGTTGAAGTAACTTCACGATATGTAACATGATGCAGTAGTTGTCAAATTTTTTGAATACTAACTAATTCATTGATCTAATTTTTCTCCACCATCTCATAATGATATTAAAATACTTTCATACTTTAATTTGTCTTCCTTTAATAAAAAAAACTGATTTTGGTAATCTTTTCTTTCGAAAATATAAGAAAATAAAACCTTATCGACAGATTCTTTCATATATCCCAATTTTGTCGTTTCAATACAACCATACCATTCGTTTACTGGACAAACCTCATTTGTCCTATCCATTACTGTAAAAATAGTCATATATTACCGATAATCGACAACTTTCATAGTTCATTATTTTTCATTCATCATTCATTATATCACATTTATATCACCTAAAAGAATTTTAATAAAAAAGTACCAAAAATTAAAAATATATGTTTGATAACTTGATAATGCAATAGTAATAATGGTTATAATGTTATGCCTTTTTCCAACTTGAACATCATATCTTATTCCAAAGACCAAAAATAAAGTCATCCTAATAAAAATTTTTGGGTACAGTATTATCGTTTACTTGATCTAAATAATTTTGAGAGAAAAAATTATTATTGAAACCATAATTCTTCTATCAAGCTAGTAACAGAAATATAAGAAAAATTATTTGTGATTCTAAGCAAATATTGACTTGATATTTTCAATCATACAAATATATCATACCAATATCATCTACAAATGAATATGCAAAACATACTGTTAACCATTTAAATCTTTACTTTATTAAGCATTTTATTAAACATAAGAGTATAGTGAACCAAAAGATAGAAAGACACAGAAATGCTATAATAAAATAGAAAGATATGGCCATCATAGTATTTTTTAGATATATACTTTGTGAACTGTTTTCCTTAAATTTTCTCCACTCTATGTTTTTTCTTTCACATTCTCTTTACTCTTAAAACAACTATCTCTTTTCATATTTTTTCACTCTATTTGTATCTTTTGATTATTAGATTGATGAAACTGTTATCAACTATTTTTCAAACATTTTTGTGAAAATATGAAATAAAGTAAGACAAATACTGGAAAGAGTTTAGCAATCATTAATCTTATCATTTTTATTCAATTATCCTACACATTTCTTTTTAAAAATTTACAAAGCTCCAAACTTTATATCTGAGATCATTTTCATTATGAAACCTCATCATGCTAAAACAACAATAACAATAACAAATACACAATATACAAACATCATCGATTAATATTTCCTATTCATGGTTAATTTTACTGGTGCTTCTTAAATAAGATCAGCAACTGCTTTAGTGCAATTCCAATCTAGAGTTAACTCATGTCCACCATTGCCATAATATGTATCACCTGAAAAAAGTTTTTTCCGAAATTTTAACCTAAAAACTTTTAAAAAAATCAATTCTAAATCTCTAAAAAATAAGAATCGTAAATCTTCAGCATAGCAATTCAACATACGCCGAACAATAATTAACTCAAATCGCAAATCTAATTCCCGAAACCGTAAACTGAATGATTGCTATAGATTAACCACTAAGTTCCAATTTTATAAAGAATCGTAATTCGGCAAATTTGATATTCGGCAAATTAACCAGCATTCTTATTTAAAAAAGTTTGAACTTTCTTTAATATTGATGATATAACGAACCTTAATTACTTTCTCATTGGAACTTTAATTTTGGAACTGGGAATCACATTACCGTCATTTCCAATCGAATACCACCCTTTCGACCTGCTCTCAAACCAATCACTCGTTCAGAATAGCTGCACCCTATGAAATTCAGTTATCCAATATTTTGCCGATTTTACTGTTTGTGGGTTGAGCATTAAAATGAATGAATAGAAGACTCTCGATTAGGTGTGTCTTATTACTACGGCTGTATGCAACAGCCTACATTAAGTTCATTGAGCTCATCGACCTTCTTGGTTAACTATGCGGCAATGAGCTAAAGTGAATAAGATAGAATCGAATGAGATAGTGTAGGATCACAGTTGGTCTTGTCATTAGACAAGATATAAAATATTTCAATTATATTTGTCCTCCAAAACTCACATCAATGATTAAAAGAATCTTATTAAAAAATGGAAAACGGCGCAAATGTGAGGAACATTTCTCATAATTTTCAAAAATTATTTAAATAAAAAAACAAACAAATGCCATATTAGTCAATAATTAACACTCTATAAAATTCCCTCTATTAAAATTTCGATAAAATAATTCATTAGTTTCGACAGAACCCATTCTTACTTTATTTGTTGACTGCAATCGATAGTACCGATTAAGGATATTAGCCGATTAACAGGTGTAATTTTAAAATCATACGGCCTGCCTGTTTCACAGATCCGATGAACACTTATCCGCACTGACAAGACAAAACCACTGATATAGAACAAGTGTGCTAATTAGGATATGGTATGCTATGATATGATAATTTAATGTTTCTTTTACAATTACAATTTCCATAGAGTTACCATTACCTCCCAAAAGCAACGCTTACTGTATAAAATAATGCAGATAATTTCACGTAATGTTTCGAATTCAAATAATGATGAGTGAGGAATGCTAACACCATTAAGTTGAAGAAGAAATGTTGACCTCGAATTATTAATATTTAAGTATTGATTTCAAAAAAAATGATTAAAAGTCGACACATGTTCCGAATCAGCTTACTTATGATATATATTCAACATGATTGAATTGATTCACTAATAATACAGTGATTATAAATTTTGAAATCAATCATTTCGAAATCAGTCGATTTTCAAAATTTAATTTTTCGGTGAATATCATAAACGTAATCGTTATCACTACAAAAGCATACAATATCACTCCACACTTATAAAAAATTTTCCCCTCATCGTTATTCGTGCTCGTAATCAGGTAGTATACTAAGCAAGAAATGACGAAAACAGCAAACATAGCTTTTACTCATTTAATATTATCGTTACCCGAAATCAAATAGGAAGCAAAATCACAGGAAAGGATTTGGACGAGATCCATACGGTGGGAAAAGTTTGCCCTTTTCTCTTAACTGATCATATGCTAGCTTAATGTGATGTGGTTTCAATGGCTCACTCTCCTCGCCCATTCTTTCACGAATGTCCAATGCTAAAATAATATATCTTAAGACTAAAATAATATATCTTAAGACTTTAGAAAATCAGAATATATATATATATATATAACTAGAAAATTTAACTAACTTTAGCAAAATTCATGAATAATTTCATATGTAATCAAAATAATGGAATAAATACTAAAAAAAAGTGAAAAGAAGAAAACCTTCTTCGACAAGTTCTCCAGCAAATACTTTGGCAAGTCCCGCGACGGCGATTATAACATTATGCCCTGGAGTGACACCCGTTGCCTGTTGGATGAGCTAAACAAAACCTCTTCTTTTATGAATTATTATGAAAGCAATTTAAAAAACCTAGAAAATTTTGAATTTGCTTCGTTATTACTTAAATTTTCGAACTACATTGAGTTTTTTGACATAACTGATGAAATTTCCCAGCAAAATAATAACATGAGAAGTCTCCATAGAGCAAGAAAACATCATGACCATAAAAATTGAATGAATTTCTGATAAAAAATACTTTTCGAATTGCACTTTTTGGGAAAGATGAGCGTCGGAAGCATTCGTAACGGGCCAGCTGTTCAGCAGAAAAATTAGCAACCAATATCCTACAAATCATGGAAAAAAGAATGTGTCGAAAAAATGGAGAGTTAGAATAAAGACAATTCTACTATTGAGGATGCCCTACTGTCTTTTATTCCCTTTGGAAAATAGTTTGCTCGCACTTCTTCACTAACATAGCTAACTTATGTGATACGAAGGTTAAGAAAATATAATGAGTTTCTATTAATAATGATTACTGCATTTTTTGGCGTAAGATTTCATCCTGTTTACTTAATTTTCTTGGCTGCAAAGCAGTTTCACTTTGTTCATCGTCGGAATTTTCGGTTTCTGGAGAATCTCGTGTGCTAGGCCCTGCTTCCTATAACAAGATATCGCGGCATATTGTAATGATCTATATAATGTGAAGACACAACCATCGTGAGGCTCACTTTTCTAAATTGAATTACCCAATTTTTAAGTTTACATCTTCTTTTAGTCCCGATAACACGCCTCGGCATTACTCCACATCCTACTCGTAACGATAAAAATGCAAAGTCAGTTTAAATGAAGTAGTTGTAATCAAAAATAAACTAACAACTAGGCTACTTGAAACATAATCATGAAGAAAAATCTTACTACTCCTTCATTGATGCAGGGCCTTTCATTATCCTTGACATTCTCTGCAAAGTGAACACTCAGTCCATTTTTTGAGTTCGATGAACCTGGAGCAGAGGAAGAGATTAAAGATGACTTTTTGGAGACAGCATCCACAGCAGTGAAATCTGTAGGATCCAGCTGAAACGTTAAAATGTGTATATTACAATCAAATTCTTTGACAATAGTTTTATCTTGTTTTTAGTCTAACAAGATTTGATTTACTACTCTTCCTAATCCTTTAACATTTTCCTTTTTTCAAGGATAATTGATATAATTCATACTAAACCAAAGAGCGGATCGTCCAATAATTCGATGGCATGAATGGATAAGTCTCCCTTGCTGGTTTTGACCGGCACACCATCTGTACTAATATCTTGATCAAGTTTTCGTTTCAAACCCGATGACTGCTGAAAAGTTCGTGCATAATGAAAAGAATAATCAAAACTAATTACCTTACAGAATACACTTGTAGAATAAAATAAAAAAGCAATTGAACCAATTTGCTGGAATATTTAACAATTATTATAGATTGAATAAGTATTAATAACTAGTTTCTCAAAATATTTAAGACAGAACTCTCAAGAAAGAGCAAACAACTCAAAAAATGGTGATTAATAAGGATTACTAATTAAACGTGCTATACAATAAAATGTCATCAATATGATACATTTATCTTTTTAAGTATAGAAATATGAGGTAAATATCATTTATTTATTTTATAATCATCAAATTGATAAGCGACGAACAAATAGAAAATATGAAATAGGAAACTAATCACTTTTGCTTCTGATACCGATGTTTCATTAACAGAAGTTTCAATGCAACTCTCTTTAGCATCGGGCTTTTTTTCCTCTTCATTATCATCGCTATCACTTAATTCACCCAGGAGATCAGCAACATTTGTCCAATCAGCCATTTCTAAACTTGGCTATTGAGCAGCATCATTTATGCGCCAATTAATAATTTTAATTGCAAAAAAACATCTAATACAGTGATTAAGTTATACGATAAAATTTATTTGGGTAGCTTCTTTCTAACTACTCTATGCCTCTATATTCGATAATACCAAAGCGTCTTCAAAGACGATCATTAAACAGTTTACTAATGCCAGTTTACTAATGCCATATGCGCGCCAACCATCAGTTGAAAAAAGTTTCAAAAATTTTATTCACTATAAATTCTACTTTGCTTTCGCTCTATTTTGATAGCGATTAAGAAAAACAACTGTTAAGTGTAACTTAGTACTATCTTTTAAACCAGTCCATGCCAATTCTAAAATTCTTCAATCTAAATTAATTTCATATAATTTATAGACGTAAAAGAATATATGCCTAACATAAAACTGTAGAAATGTTAAAACTGAAAGATTTTTCAAATTTGATAAACAGAACGAACTCCGCAATCGATGCAGAAAAAATCGAAAAAAAGCGCGCAATAAAACAAAAACCGCATTTTAACGCCAAACCTTCGGCGAATTAACAACTGAAGCTGGCAGTTAAGAATCACACAGCTCATGAATGCAAATTGTTAATCTTGTAGCTTTTATGGCATAAATTTTGGATTTCCTACTTCAGTGGTAATGTAACTTTTAGTGTAAATTAGGAAGGGAGAAGGATCTGAGGATAAGATAATATAAGTTAATTCTTAAAATTTGATGAACAGTTTTGTAAATAAATTCTAATCTGCTCATTTTTGGTATTTCTAAATGCCAATTTCAAAGATTATATTCTGCAATGCTCCACATGAAATTTCCACGAACAAAGAATTCAAATTGTTGAGGCGATGTATTACAATCATTCCAAATATAGAAAGGATCTCTTTTTTATTATAATTGAACAGTTAGTTCGAAATTTGGATATGATAGTTCTTTTTGAATTTTATTATAAACATTGAATTTTTTTTTGCAAGTTTTGGTGAATTTTGGTTTAGTCAAATCATAGTAGAGCATGCAATTAAACCTATGTTATTCTAAGATAAAAACCTAATGCCTATTTCCTTTTCTCATTTACTGTGTGATTTTAATTCAAACTTCATTATTTAATAATAATAATAATAATAACGGTAATAGCTTAATTGCATCATCTAAATACGGTGATTATCTAAACTCCGTGTTCCATTAAATCTTTAAAAAATTCCGGAGAATTTTTGAACTTTTTAAAATTAAAAAAAAATTAACTTTATGAACTGCTTATACATGTAATTTTTTTTTCAGGATGTTATCTGATGGCTGACGAATTAAATTATCTAATTGTTGGTGGTCTTAGCTATATTGGCCTACATATTGTTGAATACCTGTTGAAGAAGTATCCGAATGTTAAGCTAACAATTCTTGATTTATCATTTAATGCGGCTTATGCAAATGAAATTTTGAAAAAAGTTGAAAATTATCCTCAACAATGCACTATTACTATTGGTAGTTCTGGGAATAGTGAATTGGTGAAGAAAATACTAGAGAAACAAAAGGTAAAATACTCTTTATTGTAGTATTATAGAGATATAGTTATTAGATTGCTAATTATTTACATCTTCTTGAATTAATGATGACATTATTATTTGACGAGATAATTAACTGACATCATTATTTGTATATATGAACTAAGTAAAAGTAAGATACCGATTGCTTTGCTTCAATTATTTATTATCCGAGCGATCAAATAATATTATCCAAATGATATTTTGGATCAATTAATGCTGTAATGCTTTTTCATTTAAGCTAACAATATATCTTCCCCTATGAAACTTACAGTATTTGAATAATTTAGAAAATATTCATAGATCGACAGATTAGCAACAGGGCAACACAATGATTTAGTAACAGCACAACCCAACAGGCAACAGTATTTTAGAAGTTTACTTAATCATTAGTACCATTTTTTTTAATTTTAACGAGTCGCTAAATCTCGATTAAAAATTTGAAATTTTGTCAACTTTAGGTGGATTTAATTTTTTTATCTAAAAATATACTTAATAATACCTAATTTTAAGCAATTTTTTAATTATGTATTTGACAAAGAAATATGATTTTTTTTATCAGTTGAAATTTGCGAAATGTTGTAAAGGTAATGAAATTAAGAATAACTTTTATTTTTCGTTGCAGATCAATACAGTATTGTACAACGTTTGGAGTCGTGATGTTAGTGCTACTGCTGCTAAAAAAGATCATTCAGAATGTTTTCGCAAAACGTTATCCTGTCTAACGCAATTTCTAGAAGTTCTACGATGCTATGGAAAATTGGCAAAATTCATTCTTATTAGTTCAGAAGTAGTAAGCAATATTGCTTAAATGTTGTCCGTAGTATTTCATCCAAATTTTTTTGCTTCATAGATTATTTCGTTATATCTGTTGATCTTTGATTTCTAATCATTTAATTACTTATTTGTTCATTTTTGCCAAGAAAAATATCTTTATCTAAAATCATTTTTTGTCACTTCTTTCTGTCTTTTAATCTTCAATTTACGGTAACAAAAAATGTAAGTTTTTTGTAAAGGGAAAAACATAAATTTTCCACACTTTTAGTTAAGTAAAATTCTTTATTTGCTTTCAATTTCAAATTCAGGTTTATGGAAAACAAATATTAAAATTGGAGACAACAGCAACAAAACCATGTTCACTTAAAGGAGCGGCGATTAATGCTTGTGAAATGATGCTTCATTCTTACATTACTAGTTATCGTATACCTGCTCTTACTGTTCGATTATCTGCAATTATCTACGGTGGGGTAATGGATGATAATTCATTATTATATCTAGAACAGGGTGAGTTACCAAATAATATTTAACACTTTATCACTTCGTGTAATTTACTTCACCAAATCTCATAATTAACGGAATTTTCATGAACTCATTTTACCAATTCACTATCTCTGTCAATTAAGATTTCTGTCGGGCTCAGGTACTGCTTATTTATGGCCAGAGGTTTGCAAAAGCTCAGAGTTTCTATTTTTATGCTTTCATTTATTTACAGATGACAATGAAGAAATTGGAACTGTTGGTTTGTTACACGTTCAGGATGCTGTAGTTGGGATTGGAGCTGCTTTAGAAAGAGGGCATATTGGTGAAATTTATAATATTGGAGGTCAATTCGATTGTTCTTCGCACTTTGTTCAACTTATTGCAAAGGTTATTTTTAATTTCGTGAGAAATATGGATAATCATCTTTATTTTAGTACTAGGAAGTTTATTTTTTTGCATCCGCAGTGATAGATAAGTCATGTAATAGCAGTTGCAAGTTAAACGAATTGTACCATATTGCTTGTGTACATATTTATATATTTGTTTCTATTTGTTTGCTAAAAAATCATTTCAGTTTAAAAAAAATGAAATTTCAAGTGATGGAATCAGTTTATTGCCGCTGACAATGTCATCGATGAAAGCTGATCTTGAATTACTTTGGAAAGCTAAAATCTCGGAATCAGAGGGTTAAATTTTTTTCTCATCTTAACAGTATTCAAACGAGTTTTTGAATTTTTAGATTCTGCCAGCATCGTGCTTTTGTATTTAAGGAATGCGTGAAATAATGGTTAAAAGCGAAAGTCACCGAAATGAAATGGATGAAGCTAGTACAGATAAAATCCTTGTCTATGGCACTGATTTCGCTTTGAAGCGTCTTAGTAGGTTAATTGAGAATAAGGTCAGTTTATTCCCTTACCTTAAAGATTGTCTATAGAAACGAAGTAGAATTGCATATTCCCAAGTATCCTATGAAGAAATTTCGCTTTGTTATGAATGATACCGCTGTCATAAGTAATAGTTTCAGAAAAGATATCTGCCGGAATCGCTACAGAAGGAAAATATTATTATTACCACTCGACCGTTTGACTCGAGTGATGTTGACATTAATGAAATCATTGATGTATCTCCAAGTCATATTGTTTATATCAACGTTCCTAATGTGTCAGAAGGTTGATTTAAAACGTCTTATTATTTGTTTACTTTTCTTATAAAATATCTATATATTGATCAGCTAGCAGGTTTTAATATGAAATCAGGGAACTTCATGTTCTCTATCTAATCGATATTACGTAACTCACAAGTAATTCTAGATAATCATGTGTTTAGGAACTTCTATATTTCTGCTGAATCCACTATTTATTAGATGTGGCCAGAAAGGGATTATAAGATATGTTAACATTCAGAATGAAAAAAGTATTTTTTTTCTGACAAATTTTGAGAAAATGAATTTTCAGTATATCATATTGAACCTATGATTGATATTCGATCATTACTTAAGACCAAACTGTGTGCAATGCTTTATGCTCCCTGGTTTTTGGCATCATTTTGTGACAAACACTCAATCCATTTCACTTATTTAACTTCGTATAATCTTCTTGGAGAGAGTTTTTTTACAGCACCTCATTTGGGATTCGAGGTAATTTATTGTTATTTATTGTTGTATTGCTACTTAATTTAAGGCTGTCATCATAACGCACCTGCTCTTAATTCTTTTTATGTTTAACTGTATAAAATTAAAAGAGAGGAAAAAGTATTTGTAGAAGGATTTATCGATTGTAAAATATATCATTGAAGTCAAAAATTTCCATGTTTTTTACTCACAAGAAAATCAAAATCGATACTTCTACGCTTGCGTATTATATATGATTTTAAGTTTGCACGGAGCATAGCCACATGCAATATGTAATAGTAAATAATGAATATAATGAGTCCAATAATAGCTTGACAGGTGATTTGCTTCTATTAGTTACTTTTAGCTGCCTGATATACGTTTTGAACTTTATGATTATCTTATGGCTATTGATAAATTTGCTGATCGTTTATTGCAACATTTTGATAACATTCTATTTTGTCGTGCAGGAATTATGATCAATAAAGATGAATCCAATAAGGAGACGGTATTATTTAATTTTCTTAAATATGGTTTAAACAGGTTGATAAATTTAAGGAATATGAATTTCTTATTCTCGTCACGCTGAAAATTGAAACATTCATTAAACTTAATAAGGCGACTGATTATTGAATTGTTAAGTTCGGGACAAATCGTTTTTTGAATTTGATAATCGAGTAATTTTTTCCGCTATTGCAATCCGCTTTTGATTTGCTTTGGTTGCGAACAAAAATAGAAACCCCGAAATTCTTTTCGGGATTCCTATGGTCTATGCTAAATTGTTAATAGAATTCTCAAATATTTAACTGCATGAAGTAAGGAATTCATTAGTGTTCCATTTTTCTCGTTTTTCAGTGTTTTGGTATGGAGTCATCACTTTATTTATCTTTTTTGTCGGATTGCATTCCACGAATTCTTGATCTTGCACTAAAAGGTCGTACTGGTATGGCTGATGTTTTAAATCCAATACCTCTTGATGATTATGATTTTCGAGAAGAATGTAATCGAGGGAATAGACCGTTTGGTGCATTAATCGAATTCGTATGTTCATTTAAAAAAATAGATCATTTTTGAATTAAATAACCTAATTGGAAGATGAGTGGAAATCATTTGTTAAACAATTTGCATCTGAAATTTGTTCCATAAATGTTACTATATCCAATTATTACTATATCCAGTGCACATTTAATGTTAAATTAAATTTGATTTTTCTGCGCGGGACACTTGGTTAATTTATTCAAGCTATTTTCAAATTTATTTCGATCTAACCATTTACTTTAACCAAGTTTGGATTTTCTTCTGTAGTCAATGTTTTTCGAAATTATCAAAATTTGGTGTTTTTAGCTTATTGGGATTTGTCACGCTTACACGTGAAAGATTGTTGTTGTGAGATTAATGTTTGAACCAATGAAACTTATCATTCTGTTTCCTTCTTTCCTCAAAAAAAGAAAAAGCAATCTCATTGATTTCGAAAGATTTTTATATCTTTGTATCATCTATCGAGACTTCTAATTTTTTTCACATCTTTGTAAGATTTTTATATCGTTATATCATCGAAACTTCTAGTTTTCAGCTGTCAAAAGAACAAATACAGGAAAGATGGATATCTCCCTGATGAAACGATAATATGTGAACATTCAAAACAGACATGATGTTATCGTGGAATAATTTGGCAATGCTACCGCTACCAAATATATCAACCTGATTTGCCTTCTCTTAATGAATTTCGAAAATAGAAATTATATAATTTGAATGCGATTGTATTCGTGATTTATTTGCAACTATAATTTCAGCTGTTTATTGTTACTGATAATTATTATATGTTAAAATGACATATCTGCTGCATTACTCGTAAAACAGTTGCAAATAATATTTCACAAAATGCTTATTCCCCAACTCTTTCCCTTTTCCTTACTTTAGGGACTAAAATTTAGTTTCAGAGAGAGACCATTTTAAACTGAAGATATTTTAAAAAAGTGGACCTTAAAAATGTCTCTATGTGCAAAAATTTTCCGACATATTTAGTAACTGACTGTTGCATTTTAACGAACCGCCTTACAGCAGCTATCTTAAAAACATTTCAGAGGAACGTATGCCATCACATAACTTCCCTCATTTTATGTTTTCATTACCAAATAAACCTTGCTGTTGACACTTAAACTTCTGTCTTACTTGTAACTTTCAAAACAATTAAAAAGAATTATTGGATAAAAACTTACAAAATCATTTAATCCTTGTCTATTATTAGCCCGCGAAGTAAATACCGAGTACAGCTATTTGTAAGTTCGCTATCCTTTTTCACTTAACTAGCCTTCTTAATACCATTAACACTATTTTACAAATGAAATCCACAGTTATCTCATTATTCATCGCCTTTGTAGCAAAGGCTCGAAAAAGAAAAGTAAAATACAGAAAAATTAATTGTATATAACAAAATAATTCCAGTAAACAAGTATGCAAAACTGACTTGAACATCAAAAAATAATTTTAGCAAAGCAAAGATAAAAAATGGTCCTCTGCAAGAATATGATAAAAAGCAGTTGACGTCCACAAAACTCCTTAATTATCAAACCACATACTAATTACTTTATACAATTCAATTTCAAGAAATGTCCATTTGTAAGAATAAAATGGAGTACAAATAAGTATTGCATAAGTGAGAACTACATAATATGCTTGTGGAATCAAGTAGAAATTCTTGCCACTGATGTTTAAGCGGAATTAAAGTAAACAAAAGATAATCATAATTAGCGGGAAAGTCACACCAGTAGCATAAACATACTCAATAACTTTTAATATTAAAATAAATGAATAAAAGAATTCACAGTTTATGACATCCATAAGCGCTTTGAAATGATAGAAATAGGCAGTAGTAGTACGACAGCTCTATTTCAATAACAAAATTTTCCAATTATAAAAAGTTCACCCCTCAGCGGCTCATGCCATCTGAAGATTCCCAAACTCAGAAGACCGAGTTATTATGTTTTTAACTGTTTTGCAACGATACCAACAACGTCTGTATAATTGATAAGCTCGGATTTCGACGCACCGCGTACAAAATTATTTGAAGAATTTCCCATCTCAGATGATGTGCCTTCGAATGGTATGGTTTTTGGACCCGGAAAAACAGTCCTGAAATTTATTAGATTGATCACATGTGAGAGTTACTAAAACATTGCAGCGCATCATTACGAGAAGGATGAAAAGTTTAAAATCATTGGCTGAAACATATTTCTGTCCAAAACTCGGAACCTGGTAAATATCAGATAAAGAGCAATGGCGCATTCGGTTAATGCAACATTGTGGGCAGCGCAGTAGACTGATGGTACTTAATCATATCTACTAAAACAAATGGAACTAGAAGCTTTTACTCATTTAATATTATCATAGATTTGGCGCACTGTCTCACTTCTGCTTCACTGATAATAGACTACAAACTTCAATGATTTCAGCAGAACCACAAATAAATCGTAAATCGAATTTTAATTACTTTATTTTTTCGTTTTTGTAATAGTAATGAATTAACAGTGAAGGGCCACTTCGTTCGGATGTGTCACAATTATCAATCGTGTAAGCTCCCATATCATGCCAAATGAGCCAGTCACCCACCTAAAAATACTTTCATTTTATAATCAAATACTTGCAATCAATCAAAAAGAAAATGGTTTTTCGATAGTTTTCCAAATATTAAGATTCTGTATTTATAGATCTGATGGGATAAAGGAAAGCAAAACGAGCAACACATTTAGCTACTCGTCCCATCATCATGCAAGTACTATATATTTTTTTTAGTATGGTATTTAAGCACGGTTCATGAATGAAAGTAATGTACGACCTGCAGAGGTGGAAGTCTCGTCAGCGACAAAACAACATCTGTATCACAGGCTTCAGGACCAATGATTGCTGCATATGTGTTGAGTTTTTCGCCGAAAACCATTACTGGAGAACAAACAGGATCACGATGAGTTAAAAGTTTGCAACCAAATGCTCCATAAAATCCTTCGTTGATCTGATAAACATAGCCGACTGTACCAGCATCTGATTCTGCAAATGATAAGAATTTGGAACCGCAATTTCAATTCCAATTCATTTCACCGGTTCATTTGTTTACTTTACTAGAAACCTTCTTTCTTTTTCTTTGGCAAAACTTCAGTGCCATTTCTGAAAAAAGGGAAATACTTAATCCAGAAAAATATACAATTAACCTTAACTAAATCATTCTTTATCAAGAGAGAATTTGATAGAATCAAATACGAAGTATTTCATGCATAACCGTTACACATTCATACATAAACTTACCATCATTAGTGAGAAAACTTCCATCAATTAACCGTTTGTCGACGACACGCGTAATTAGAGAAAAAGAAGAAGCGGCAAAATAAGAGCTTGGTTCAGCGATTATTTTCATATTCTTGAAGAGCTTTGATGGGAAGAAAAGTGTAAATGCAGCATGCAACGAATCAGCAATCTGATCAAATGATAAGCCATTGGTAGCAGACATACTTGGAAAACCATCACCTACATCCAATATATCCATTTTATGGCCTACTTCACGCCCGATATCAAACAGTCGCCGACACTGTCCAATTGCATATGAATACATCGCTGGTGTTGAACAAACAAAGCGTACAGAAAGGCTAAAACAACTTTTAATTAAATATAATAAGCTTCAGCAATGACTACTAGTATAGACAGATTAAAATATGATCAAGATAAGCTAATGTACTGCTATTTAATTCAAGGTCTCTAGAAAAAGAATTATACGCAATTTAACTTCCATACCTAATGCCCCTTATTCTCATTGGTGAGTCTTTTGTACTGCTAAGCAAGCTGCTAGCTTTCTCGACATCCAAGTTATCCTCCGTAAGAGGATCACTAACCACCTTTCGATCCATTGTTACACGTAAAATTATGCTTGCTTCAGGGTAATACGTCGCAAAACGCTTTAAATCATCTTCCGTTTCAATGACAACTGTTTGAATGCCACATTCCTTGGCATAACGAATATTGCCACGCGTCCACAATGGATTTCGATAGATGATTCGATCCACATTGACAATTTTCATAGCCTGCAGTAACGGCGGAATTATACCTTACTTTTTAGAAAATGTGATCATTCTCTTATACATCAGTAATCAACAGTATATTATTCTTAAATGGCTTTATAAAAAAATGTTTACATGTATGACAATATCAAAATATGGCAGAAAATTACACGGTGGAAACTTTAAGTTTGCGAAATACCACTACATATCAACTATCAAACTCAAATGAACTCTTGCGTTGATATAGAAGTCGATATTTACCTATACAATTGTGAAATTTTAACCTAAAATTGAAATTAAGGAAAAATGAACCATTCCAACTTCATATCGATTGCTGCAATATAAACCTATATCGGTATTTCGAGTGAGTAGTTTCAACAGAACATCATCTGAATTGCACCGTAATGCATAGTACGGTTTAATATCCCGCATTTTTTTGAACCAGTTTTTCAGGATATTATCTATGAGTTCCACATCCATTACGAAAAATGGGTCATAGTCACCCTGCAATTAGGTTGATGTTATAAATATGAAAAATATGAAAAAAATAAAGCAATTGATTGCTACAAATACGTTATCTTGATTTAGTTATAACATAAATTTGATATCAACTCCACAATAATAAGTTTCAGACAGTCTTCTTTTTTTCTTTCTCTCTCAGAATCGAAATATGAGATTAAAATACATTCATACAAATAAATAAATTCATGAACATACCTTAGCGACTTTATCTGCTATCAACTTTCGAACTGCATCAAAATAGTCATCACTGTAGCTAGCTTTTAAATCGCACTGTTTAACTACATTAGCAGAGTGATAGACTTTATCGCAATTGTAACTATTGCAATAAAGCTTATAGATATCCAATGAATGTACTGGTGCCATGACAACAATCCGATAAAATGAATCTAAAAAAGGAATAAAAAAAGTTATATCAAAAAGGGAAAGCTATAAAGATCAAGAACTCAAAAAACTTTAAATCATAAAAATTCCCAGAAAACGAAACAAAACAGTGAAGAAATAGTATTTACACACTTTTTGAAATCCAGGCGAATTAAGGTGGCCTATATAAACGGACGCAAAATGTACGACGTTTAACGACTTCGGTCCAGTGGCACGGTTTTTCTGGCGGGAGTGAAGCCGAGACTGAGGGGTGAACTATTTGATAAGCGTAATCACGTGAAGAAATTTTCAAGAGACACAACCACTTCGATAAAATCCAAAAAATGCTGAAAGAGGAACTTTTAAATGATGCATCATATAATTTTGTAATGAAAGATAACTAAAACTTCATTTTTATCCTTCTGATCTTTCTACCACTCTAATAAGCTCATATATTGCTACATCTTTTAAATACTAATATGATGAATTACAGTACTTATATATGTTAGCAAAGTGGATCAGGATCCCACGGAGGCTCTGCGTTCACGTCAAGCTTGATCTGAGTGCTGCCTGGTCGCGGGATTGGATCCGAAGATAGCAGAGCGATACAAAGCTCCCGTATAACCTGAAAAGTACAACAGAAATTGAATTTATCCACTAAATAGTAACGTGTAATATTTGACAATATAAAAGAACTTGAGGATTTGGAAATAAAAAAGAAATGACCAACCGACTGCGAAATTCGACTTGAAGGCGGTGATGAACCGTCTGCGTGATCTTCTGACGAAATTTTCAAGATTTTTTCGGGCTTCCAAGCCAAAATCAAAGTCCACACACGCTCGAACCCTGCAGCGTATCTGGACGAGGTCGTAATGACTTCGTACTCCTCTAATATTAATATGAATAATTGTCCCTACCGAATTAAGCAGTATGCCTAATATTTTCAATAAAGAATAATTCTTTGTTATGGCTTGGATGTAAAAATTCGCTGAGTCAACAGAACCGACCAGTCCTAGAATAAACAAATCAATCATGTGAATTTGAAGATAAAATGATTTCGAAAAATTAACGCGTACGAAATAAATTAATTTAAATTTCAAATGACCCAAATTAAAGACGATACATGCAAATAATTTTTTTCTTCCTCCCTCATCACTAATTAAATATTAGCTATATAATCGGTACTATTTCTCGTCCGATATTTGACAGTCAAGCTCTACATAATCTAATGCAATATGGTGGAAATGGCTAATGAATACCTGAAATAACTGAATTAAACAAGAGCAACTTCACTTTGTTTCTCCCTTCTTACTTATATTTGTATAGAAAAATAGTCAGTCCAATAATTTTAGTTTTTCCAGTGGGTGATTATCATTGTTTTGGCTTTAAGCATTAATAAATATTATTAATCGTTAAAGCCAAAACTCTATATTAAATATATTTAATAGCTTTTTTATTGACTTTCGATCTAAAGTCATCGCATAGTAATGGATATTCCATTCTAATAAGGTACTTATGTTAAACATGAATTAAGTAAAATTTTTCGAAAAAAACAAAAAAAGCCTAATTGTTTAAGCAAAAATTATAATTTTTATAGTTAAACAACTAAATTAATTAATAATGAATGATGATGATGATCATCATCATCATAATAATATATAAATGAATATGTAGCATCCCTAACATTCCCTTTCAATATTATACTTAATAAGATAAATAAGTACGAAAGCTTATAGTACACGGAAATGAAGAACCAAAGAAATGAAAAAAATGAAAGGAGAATAAAAAATATTGAATAATGAAAATTGTCGTAGTTGCATTGCTGCCAGTGGCTTCTACGCCTTCAGCAAATTATATACTAACACTTTATCATTCTGTCTCTTCACTAATAGAGCGAATATTTTTCCTGGAAAATCTGGAAAAAGAGGATGGAATGAGAGAGTGAGAGAAAAAAAAGAAAGTGGGGGAGGGGAAGAGAATATAGATGAACCTTGTGACATGAGTCATAGCTTGGAAAAACAAATTACATCAGGAAATGAAGAAAAATGCGAAAAATCGATCAATGTGATGATTTCACTTAAAAAAGGTAGGGAGAAAAATTATAATGTAAATTAAATAGAAATAGAAATAACTACAGATAACATAAGAAGAACAAAATGACAAAGTGAAAGAGTATCATCAAATATGATATCATTTTACAAGCTTAGTTTTCTACAGAGAAGTTAGCTATTAAAACATGTCTGTGTATCATTCATTATTTCCTCTTCAACCGCTTCACCTTTCTCATTCCTTCACACAGACACATATCTCATTGATAACAGTGAGAGGAAAAATCGCCGTTAGCAATGTTTAGCTAATTAAGATAACAAAAGCTAAAATTAATGAATAATTAATATCAAGCCAAAATTGTTCCATCCCTTTTCTTGCCTTCAAAAATAGTCCAACAAATATTGATATTGTTTTGTTCTCTCAAAATTCATTTTAAAAACATTTGGCAGAATACGGTAAAAATCAAAGTATTTCCTCACATGTTGAAATTTATCATGTAATAATCCTGTCACCTGCACTGTCGTAATGCTTTGTATTTACTATTGAAAGTGAAGCTAACTCATTTTTTCTCCCTTTTAAATCCAAATTTTAGGATCTTTTTTCTTTCCAAAAATAATCAGTTAGTGGCAACCACAAATTATTTCTTATTAACATCAGGTTTGACTATCTGCCCTACTAATAAGCTTATCATTTTTGCTTTTTATTTCCTTCCTCTTATTTTCTTTTTAAGAAAAGAAAGAAGCATATATATATATATATATACATATATATATATAATATTACATTTCTTATAAAAATATATTTGCAAGCTTTAACCTTTCATCAAACAAAATTGCCATTCCAATAAATTTTTATATAAAACATTTTATGATATGCAAACATTTGTAGAATGAAATTTACAATGAAATCATTAATTAACATAGTAATAGATATGAAAGGAAAGGCATAAGAAAAAACGAGAGATTCATACGAAAAAGAAGAGAATGATCATAATAGAAAAGACATCAATATTGATGAGCTTATTTAATAATATGATAAATCCTACATAATTATAATTAAAGTGAAATAATAAAAGAGAAATGGAAACGATTTTGATAAAAATGGGCCATAAAAATTGAGAGAATAATTGGAAAAATTCGAATAGGCACTATTTTAAAAATAATATGAAATTTGTCACAGTTTCCAATTAACAAATATCTCATTAACAAATTAATTATTCAGCAATATATTTCATCATCTTTCAATTAATATTTAAAACATTCCATAACATCAGATTCGAAATTCATACAAAATCTTTTGCAATTATAAACGTAAATATCGAAAATTACAAAAAGTAAATATAACAATCATTTCGGGCAGTATGCCTTCTGCTGATATGTATATATATATAAATGATTAAATTTCATCCCCTATTAGCATACTGTAAAAAGCGATAAACTGTTTTATCACTTATTTGAACAGAGATTAAATTCATCAGTTTGCGATGATTAAATATAAAAAAATACTTTGAGTGAGGAAACACGAAAACTAAATCCTACACAGTACAAAATGTACAATGTAACAATAGTAATAATAATAATTAATAATAATTAACAATAATAATAGTAATAATAATGGTTGGTGATAACAATAATAATAATTATAATAAGTAATAATAACGATAATTAGTAATGATGATAATTATTATTAGCAAAAAAAAATGATAATGCAAATCAGCAAAGAATCTTCAATCTTCTTTAACATAACCAAAAAAATAAGACAGTTTTCTTTCATTATCAATTCTATTTCTAATTACGCTTTTATCAATTTCATGCCTATAAACCTTTGCATCTTTGCACTATTCGATTCCATTTACTCCATAATGCCATTTAAAATGAGACTCAATCAGTATAATTTCTTTACTACCACAAAATTTCAGCAAAATAAAAAGATAAGCTAGATGACATGAACTGGCCAATCACTCAAAAAATTTTGAAACAAAGTTTCATCGATTACTTAAAAGTCATCTATATTTATCATATCATTTATATTAATGATAAGAAAAAAGTATGAATTCCAGAAATATGGAATAATAATTAATTAGAAATAACAGATAATTAAGTCAAACTTAGCTAATCAAAATTTTTGTCCAAAATATATACATCATTTAACAGTATAACGGGAAAAATCAATTGCAAAAATGATGTTCATGATATTGATAGAGAACAAATCATTGAGATGATTTCAATTTTTTTATCGAATTAACTCTCCCTCCACCTTGTAATCCCTTTCCTTTTACTCTTATGTAACAATCAATTTCCCTCATTCTCTATTCTAAACCATTTGACGAATGATATAACAGTAAAAACAATTCTGCATTCCCTCATACAAACTTCTAGAATCGTCCCTACTTCATTTTGCCACCATATTCCCTTTCCCCTTCTGCTTATCGCAAATTCTCTTGTTGCTATTCTCGTTGTAATAAAAATGAGCACTAGAATTACTCCTTTTTCTGTTCTCTTATCAGACTGCCTCCAATTCTGGTTGCATCTTTGCCTGCTCAAAACAGGAATTTCTATATTTCAAGACTACCTATTTGTAATATTAGAACACTAATCAGACTGAAACTATCTGAGATACAGAATCGAGCAGATTCATTCGGCCGACATATATCAAAGTGGTTGAGCAAACCTATATGGATAAGATTGACTTACCGGCCTACATAAGTATATAACTTGATAATCCTACACAATGTGTTCGGTTCCACCCAATCCTATTTTGACCAGCATATAATTAAGCACCATGCTAGAGAGATATATTCAAAAAAAAACATTGAACAAATAGTTTTTTTGTTATGGGTATAAAAACTAAAAAATTAAGGAGAAAAATTTACCTCGTGTTAAGAATATCTTATCAAATACAATTTCTTTTACGAAAGAATTTATCAAAAATAATGGTAACAGTATTATGTTCTCAGTATGCATTTCCAGAATTATTCACAGTATTCAACTCAAAACACCGATTTGGAATATTTACATGATTAAAATTTAAAAATCAATGTCAAACAGCTATAAGTTCAACATGGCTTAGCGCACAATGACAAAAAAGTGTTACAATCGTAATTTGGAGAAGGAAATGAATAATGGAATTACTTAGCGAATGACTCAAGAACGACGACTAAATGGAGCATCAGTTGATGAAAATAATCGTGCCATATCAGCGACCGACTTACGACCTGATTTGCTGTCACCATCTATGGTACAACTTACCGGACGAACTGCAACAACTTGATCGGGCTTGGGTGGCAAAGTCGGAGGTACCACTGATGCACCAGTTTTATTTCGTCTTGGTACAATGGGTGGTGCAGCTATTGCTGAAGTATTGACTGATGGTGATAAAGGTAAAGCCGATGGTTGGACTGCTAGAGACTCTGCATCTGTGAAATTCTCTTGAGAAGGAGGTAGCATAGCACAACTACGCGTGATAGCTGGTGAACCCGAACGATATTCATCACTGATCGACAAATTGCTGGAATGAACGTCAATCTCTGATTCGCCGGGTGAACAAGTAACCGACTCATCAGCTGCGACATCGTACACTGCAGAATTTTCACCGTTCTCCTCTCCACTATAACTCTGGTGAACTTCTTCCAAGAATATCTGACGCTAAAAATCGAAATCTAAGTTCAGTTCGGTTCGACTTACTGGATTCTACTAAATTTGTTACAGATTAATTTCAGTAACATTAATCATCATTAACGGCTGCCAACCTTTGTCATTTTGAAATTTCTTATAGGCCTTGGGCGACATTTTGATGGGTGATTCAAAGCAGAAGGCATGGGAGGAGCGTCCAAATTCACCTTCTCTCCCACTTCATCAATGGATAATTCCGTAATCACCGATTTCGGACGATGTGATCTAAAACAGAATGAACTGCGACACTAATTGTAAAACCTAAAAGAATATGTAATTCCATACGAAAATCTTAAATATGGAAAATTTTAACC